TTTTCTTGGCCCAAAGTATATGCTCTACAATGGACTGTTAAATAAATAAGCGTCAATGATAGTCATCTTGAATCACCCAGGACTGTGCACTGGGGAAATGAGGGCCATGGGGCGAGAGGAGCAAAGGGGAGGATAGTAGTGAAGCATTACTACAGTGGGCAGCCAGAAAAGCTTTGTTTAAATGGCAAAACATCTGAATTGGGCTCTCAGCGCCACCCTGAGAACTGGGTCCAAGCTGCCAGGGTTTATTCACCTGTATAATAGGATTAAATAGGGATTAACAGGGATAAACACCCGCTTTCAGCTGTAAGGGAAATGCTTTGCCAAGGTCCCTCTGTTTCAGTAAATCCCCCCCGCTCCCAGGCGGAGTAAGGCGAGAAGCCGCCACCTCCCCAAATTCCCACGGGGGTGGGAGAAGGGAGGCAGGACTGCAACCTCTCAACTTGCGTGGACTACAGCTGTGGCTCAGCAACCCCGAATCTCCGTGTAAGAAAGTCCCACCCGTCATCGATGATTCGCATCGATAAACGGCGCCCAAGCCACTCCGAAAGATCATTGGTTAATGCTGCTGTCAGTCGGCAGACGCTGGCGGAGGCCTATGGGAAATGTAGTTCAGCCAGCCCGAGTCCTTCGGGGGTTTGCATTTCCGCTTCCGGCGTTTAGTCGCTGTCTGAAAGGGGTAACTTGAGGTCCTTGCTCAGGGTGGGAATGTCGTGTAGGGACTGTGTGTAGCCAGAGAAGGTGCCGCGGAGTCAGGCCCCCTGTGGTGGTCGCAGGGCCTTGACGGACGGGAGCGGGTCTCACCTCAGGTCTGAGCCGCTCACACGGGCTGGGCATGACCAGGCAGGCGAAGACCCGGGGTCCGACAGCTTCGGTCCGGAACCCGGGGGAGGATGCGCCCCTCATGCTGGCGGCGCCCTCCTCGCTGTCCACCAGGCCCAGCGGGGACGACTCTGGTTCCGTAGCCGACGAGGCAGCTCCGTCCGCAGAGCCTGCGTTTACCCCATAGAGCTTCCAGAGAAGGTCGCCCGCGGAGCAGGGTAGCTTTCCGGTGAAAGTCACGCTCTTGAGGGTCAGACACCCTGTCCGCCGTCACCGGACTGCCCATCTCCAGCCAGCTTTGTGTCCTCCGACAAGGTCCCGGCGGTCTCTGAGCCACGACTGCTTCAGCTTTGAGGGGGTGGAAGCCTGAGAATCTCAACTTTCTTTCCAACTGTAACATCTTTTGAGTCTGTGATCACATTATCCTTGCTCTCACATCTTGTAACCTTAATAACCAGGGTAATTCTCCTTGTTTGGGAGAGTTATGATGCCGGAACTGAGGAATCCCCAGAGGGCGCCCCCCACCCCTCCAAATCTGAGAACCCAGCCTGTGGGAAGGACAGCTGAGGGTTGGAACTATTGAACCTCCAAAGCTTAGAGCGGGCTCCATTCAGGCGCTGCTCTCCAAGGTGCTGCCCCCTTGGGTGCCCGTCTGGCTCTTGGACCGCACACACTTGGCAACACTTTGAAGACCAGTGGCTTGGGAGAGTGGGCAGTTTTTCGTTCCTATTTTATCCGTCCGCCCATTCTCATTCTTCACTGTAGATAACTGGCATTTTCTTGGTGTAAATTGCTATGCAAAAACAGCTTCACACTCCCCTTCTTTCCAACCAGATCACCAGCCCTTGACCCCTCCTGTCAAACTTCTGGAGCTACCTCCCCAGAGGGGAAGCCAGTGACAGAAGGCCAGACTCCACGGGGCATCAGGCTATGGCACAGGCAGGGGTGGGGGTGTGGGAAGGAACAGGAAGACTATTTTCATCACCTCAGTCTTACTGGGCTAACCTTGTGGTTTTCACTAGAATTCACTTTGTAATGTATGTCTCTGGCTCTAGAATTTCAAGTTCTGTTTCAATTCCTATCTGAAGGTGGCTTCTCAGGGAAGTGAAGGAAGAGGTTTGAAGTTCAGAGCAGAGCTGCAGGGTTTCTCTCTGATCTGAACAATGGCTGTAGCTGTGGACGAACAAATCCACACTCCTCAAGTATAAGAAGGGCTTTGAATAGTGAAGCTGGAAGAAGATTCCCACAGGGAGCAGGAAATTTTCCTTCGAGGGAATGTCCCTGGACCAGAGACCTCCTGCCAGTGCTTTTGGCATTTCTGCTATTGAGAAGCAGCAGGACTCCGGGAGTCCCTCATCCAACTCTGGAAGCTTGGTTATCAGTGGTTGAGACCAGAGAGGTAGTCCAAAGAGCAGTTCCTAGTGTCGCTAGTCTTGGAACCATTCCTGGCTGTCCTTCCCCAGGAGATCCAAATCTGGGTTAGACAAAAGCATCCAGAGAGTAGACTGGAGGCAGTGGCCCTGGTAGATTTGCAAAGAGAACCTGGAAGACAGCAGCTGCAGGTGAGATATGGGAACTTAGTTCTGAGTAGAGGAACGTGAGAGCGCCACCTTCGGTTGCCAGCAGTATATGGATGATGTGTAGACTTTTCTCTTGGTATCAATGTGGAATTTGCTCATTACAGCTTCCCTTCCATTTTCAGACTGACTCTTCTTTTCTTTTTCCTTAAACATTTTTAAATTAATTAATTAACTTGGCTGTTCTGGCTCTTAGTTTTGGCATGCAGACTCTTAGTTGCGGAATGTGGGATCTAGTTCCCCAACCAAGGGTCGAACCCCAGGCCTCTTGCACTGGGAGCATGGCATCTTAGCACTGGACCACTGGGGAAGTCCCTTCCACTTTTCAGACCGACTCTTCAGAGAATGCACAATATTGGGTACTCTGGAGTGTTGGTCCCTGCCGTTAAATAAGAAAATTGCTTAAAATAGAGTGAGCACCTCTCTGATACAGGAGGAGCATGCATAAGCTATTTTCTCTTTGGAGAATAGCTCTCATTCAGCAGGAGCCAGCCTGAAGCAAGGGGCTTCACCAGGCTTTACTAACTTCATTGAACCTTTGGGTCCTGTTGCAAAATGGCTTTTTTGTTGCTGGCTATCTCTGTGTTGTCAGTTTTGCCTAAAAGTGATCAGAAGCAGCCCCAGGAGAGCTGGGTGGACAGACTGCAGTGGGTCTGGGTTCCAGGTATTATCTCTCTGGTATCTTCCACACCCACCCTCTTCACTGCCTCTGCAGTGATCTGCATAAGACTGAGCTCCCCCTCTGCCTGTTTTTTAAGATTTTAAAAAATGCATTTATTTTTGTTTGCACTGGTCTTTGTTGCTGTGTGGTCTTCCTCTTTTTGCAGAGCGTGGGCTCTGGGCACAGGGGCTCAGTAGTTGCGGCTCTTGGGCTTTAGAGTGCTGGCTCAGTAGTTTTGGCACATGTGCTTAGTTTCTATGTGGTGTATGGAATCCTCCCAGACCAGGGATCAAACCCGTGTCCCCTTCATTGACATGAATTCCTAACCACTAGACCACCAGGGAAGCCCTCCCGATTCTTTGCTTCTTTATGTCTTGGGATGATTTTTTAGTGCCTACAGAATTTTGACCTTCTCCAGTCCTTAACAGGGATTCAGAGAAGGAATCCTCAGGATCAGTACTGGGTTCCCTAAACATCCATCTGAAGCAAGCACAGAATCCATGTTTCTGTTCCAGGTCATGGTGATGATGTCACAGCCAGATCAGAAGACCAAATGAATCGCAGCCCCAAAGTAGAACTGGGAGCCTCCCACAAGAGCGAGCAGTAAGCAGCAGCAGTGGGAGGGACCGAGGGAGAAGGGACCCTTCGTGGGTGGGTGTGAAGCCTCCCCTGATTATAGGAAGTGGGATAAAACGGTACAGCTCCTTTCCCTGGGAGGGTGTGGCATATAACTGAAGCTGAGCACAGGAATCTGTGGGATCCTCAATAGGCACCTCCAAAGGGAAGAAGCGCCTTGGCTGGCAAGTTTTGTAAAACTCCACAGCAAAGCCTGTGACACTGCTCCTTACATGAGGGAGACATCATTGGTCTCAGCAGGTAAGGTGTGGGCACTGATTTTAGGCCTGGTTGGTAGGAAAGGCACAAGGTAGGGTTAAACTATTGTGGACTAATTCACAAAACAGGTACGTGTCCCAGACCAATTCAGATGATTCCTATGTGCTGTCAAAACTGAAGAATAGGGACTTCCCTGGTGGTCCAGTGGCTAAGTCTCTGTGTTCCCAATGCAGGGAGCCCGTGTTCAATCCCTGGTCAGAGAACTAGATCCCACCAGCTGCAACTAAGAGTTAGCACGCTGCAACTATGATCTGGCATAGCCAAATAAATAAATAAAAATAAATATTTAAAAAATGTCATCAGCCTGCAAAATATTGCCCAAACCTCCTTTCTTGTTTAAGGTAGGGCACAGCTGAGGTATTAAGGCACTGTTTTCCTTGACACTAAGATTGATAGTTTGTCTTAAAAGTAATAGTCACTTCCTTCTTTCTGTATCTAGATCTTGCCCTCATAATTCTTTAACATCTGGTGGCAGTGGTAAAGAAACTGCCTGCCAGTGCAGGAGACTTAAAGAGACACAGGTTCGATCCCTGGGTTGGGAAGATCCGAGAGAGAAGGGCATGGCAACCCACTTCAGTATTCTTGCCTGGAGGCTACAGTCATGGGGTCACAAAGAGACAGACACAACTGAGCAACTAATACAACACCACAATACATCTTAATTCTGTAAGAGTTCACAAAACCTGTTTACATTTATCAGCTCTTCAGATTCTCTATATTGTGAATACGGACGGGGTAAAACACTGCCATTCTGCACTCGGGAGAAATGGGGCTCCCAGAGCTAAGAGCAGTTACCAAATATTTATTGTGCCATGCATCCTAGCAGTTATTTTTAAATATGTTACTTCTAACTTTCCCAACAGCCCTGCCAGGTAGTTAGTACCAGCCTCATTTTACAAATAAAGAAACCGGGGTGGGCTGACAGGCTGGTTAACTTGCCCTCAGCCACTCAGCTGGCAGCAGGGCCGTCTGCGGTCGCCTGAATCCTGAATCTGTCTCCTTGCTCTGCAGCAGGTTCCCAGGGCCTGGGCTGAAAGATGCTGGTGTCAGTGAGAAGCGCAAGGGTCCACCCAGTCCCACACATGCAGAGAGGCATCACTGGCTGCCGATAACACAGTCCTTGGTTTGTAGGGGTGCCAAGTGTGGGTGGTGACCATCGGGGCAGGGTCCATCCCACTGTCGTCTAGGAAGATGTGACCTCTGTGAGTGAAGAGAGGTTCTACTTGGCGCCCCACTCCAGCCCAAGATGTGACATCATAGACCTGGACTGTCCCATCGAACCCTGAGGAAGAACAAGGGAAGAGAGTGTTGACGCTGTATCTCTGAAACTGTCTTTATAATTTGCTCTGTGGAAACAAAACAGGCTGGAGGGTGAGGAATCAGACAGTAATGAGGTACTTAAAGACCAACCGAAGGGCATGTGACACGTGATGTCAGCCACGTCAACAGCAGCTAATGACGTCACAGAGCACATGCTGATGAGCATGTGTGGTCTGTCTATCGTGTGCCAGGCCCAAGGCTAACCCTGCATTCTCTCTCTTTTACCCTTCATGACTATATGAAGTAGGTAGTACTTTTTTTTTTTTTAAGTTTATATATTTAGTTTCAACATGTGGGATCCAGTTCCCTGACCAGGGATCGAACCCAGGCCCCCTACATTGGGAGCAAGGAATCTTAGCCACTGGAGCACCAGGGAAGTTCCCATGAAATAGGTTATTATTATTTTCCCCAAGAAACTGAGGGTAGAGACTTTTCAAACTTTTTCTGCTAACCCCCAATTCTAATCCCCCCACATGTGGGTCCCTCCCTGCAGATGGCCTTGTCTCCTACCTGATGGGGGAAACAGAGATGCCTACAGAGAGAGAAATACCCCAGAGACGCCTACAAAGAGAATTACCCCCGCCTGGCTCATGTCTCCTGCTCTTTCTGGATCCGGTTGTTATCAATGAGCCTCTCCTGCTCCCTCAATTATTTTCAGCCTCTCCCCGCTTAGAGGATTCTTCCGTGGGCTTTAAGATACCTCATTACACACCCTAACTCAGCTAGATGCTGCCAGGCCAGACCCAGGAGTCTGCTGACCTCACTGGCTTGCTGTAATTCTAAAAGCAAGTCGCCTGAGAGGCACCTCAGATCCTGTCACCTCTCCCTGGTTAAGCCCATGGCTGTTCTGGTGCTGTACCACCTGCAGGCTTCTGGACCAACCTCAGAACTGAATTCCTGCTGGGACAGGAAAGGCCCGCTACCCACGTGTGAAGTTTGGTAGCCAGGATGAGGAAGGGCCATCCCTCATGAACCTGGAGAACTAGGAGCTTTTCTGTGACAACTGTACCTTCTGGGGCCAGATTTATTGTGGGGCTGTGGGCTCCCTCCTGAGTACCTAAGAGTCCCCTGGGAGAGAGATGAAGTGACAAAGTCCTCTCAGCAGTACCTGAAATGGCCAAGCAGTTGTCCAGGCCAGGGGCCCAAGTCACTCGCAGCAGCTCTGGCTCAGGGCTGGGTGTGGACACAGGGCACTGGACTGAGCTCACAGGCTGGCAGAGATCCCGGGGGTCGAGAAGACAGAGCTGCCCGTCTGAGCCAAGGCGTGCAATGCTGGGCCCAGGGCTCCGGCCCCCAGCTTCAGCACACCACCGCCTTCCAGCAGACCCAGGGCCGGGGCCGAGGTTCTCTGATGGGGCCCACTTCTGGCGGGTGTCGACCAGCCCCAGGCGGCCTGAGGAGCAGCAGAAGGCGAAGGTGTCCGTGTCCAGGACCTGCAGGCTACTTAGCACATCATCATCACTGACACCTGGAGAACGGGGCAAGTGAGAAAAGCTGCTGCAATCAGATGGGGCTGGTGGGCCCGGCCGGCGGGTGGCCAGCCCTCTCCTCGGGGAAGCTCCCCACCAGCCCCAGGCAGAGCGAACCATGTCCCCGGTGCCCTGGAGCTGGGAGGCAGAGGAGCTGGAAGGGGCTGCGGTACCTGAGGTGTACGTGGTCTTCTGTGAGTCCAGATCCACCACCTTCAGGCTGCTGAGCCTCGCACCGTGGAGGATGCCGGGTGCCACCGATGGGAAAACGGCCACCCTGGGCCAAAGAGGGCCGTCGCTCTCGTGCACGTCCATGGTGCTAACAGCTCTGATGACATCTGGCGGGAAGCAGGAGAGGCTCAAAATGTTAAGGCAGGTCTGGAACATTCCATGGTAAGGGCCAGGCAGAAGGTCAGGGGAGAAAAGGAGCTCCCTGTCGGTGAGGGAAGATGTGGAGACCTAATAACTCCGTGCTGTGTTTCCATTTCTGGAACTGTCAGGGCACTGTCATTTCTCTATGATTTGTCTTATGAACTATTTCACAAACTGGAGATAATAAATGACTGCAGCCACATCCAAAACCGCCCAGCAATTCTGGCTTTTAATAGTTTTGCGGAGAACAAATAAGGAAGAGAAAGGCACACACCAGCACTGTCGCCTGTAACAGGAACAGTCCACGCAGTGACATTATTTCTTCAAAAACATGTCCCGTGACCTCGAGCTGTTTACTGGAGCCTAACAGGTGAAGGTTACAACACAGATGTCTTCAAATATAAAGAGGGCAAGAAAGTCCACATCTTTTTTACACTGAACATCGACACCCTTGACCTCAGGCTAAGTCAGACTTTAGCTCTGTTCGCCTCAGCCTGCTTGGGCAGCAGGCAGGTCCCACCCTCTGCCATCTCCATGTGTAACGTAGTTCAGAACAAGCAGTTTGCTGGACACACTACCGTTACTTAAAGGGAGACACACGTTTTCCATTTTCTATTTTCTTGCTCCTAGAGAGGGTGTACTGTTTGGTTTCCAGGTTCTCTGAAGAAAATGGAGAGCTGTATTTTTACACTCTAGATGAGTAAAGGATTGATGAAAGAAAAAACACCAGCACGGCTGATCAAGCGAGCATGCGACAGCTATTGCCTTGTGACAGTTCACACACACACACACACATGAGTCACAGAGGGCGCGGCCGGGCCGGCTGGCTGCAGAGGCCCCCGAGCCCTGCTCCCCAAGCCACAGGCCCTCGGTGCCGCTGGTGCAGACTTGCTGAACACAACTGCGCTGCCCCAGGGACTGCGGGGGACAGGGAGGGTGAAGCAGACACAACAGCTGAGCCTCAGGCCCAGCATGTCTCTGGGGGCACCAGTGAGGCCGAGATTCAAACAGCCCAGCCCACCTGACTCTCCCGGGCCTCACTTAGATGGCGCCCTCTTCCCCTTCCACAGGCTCCAGGGAGCCTGGCAGGGATCCCCCAGGACCTGCTCGGAGCCAGGGGATCTCAGGTGGGATCTGTCCCCTGACGGCAGGGAAGGGGGCAGCTGAGGGAAAACCATCAAAGGCTGATTTCAAAGATGCAGTGGAAGACAAAAGCTTTGGAGCTCCTGACTGGACAGTCACTCCACAGTTAACAAGAGGAAAGAAATGTAGGTTCCTCCTCGTCCTCCTCCCCTCTCTCAGGGGAAAAATACCCCTCTAGGAAAGCACACCACCCTCACCAAACCAACTGAAAGGAAAAATCACTATGAAGTCAAAGCAAAAGATGCTGTGAGGCACCTCCAAGAACTGGTCAATAAAAGAAAGTTGGGACTTCCCTGGCAGTCCAGTGGTTAAGACTTTGCCTTCCAATGCAAAGGATGCGGGTTCGATCCCTGGGCAGGGAACTAAGATCCCACTTGCTGCAGGACAGCTAAACCCCTGCACCTAAACTACTGAGGCCAGGCACTACAACACAGATCCCGCATGCCACAACTAAGACCCAGTGCAGCCAAAAATAAATCAATAAATATTATTTGAAAAGAAGAAAGCAAGAAGGTTGTGTCTGAAGATTAAACCAGTAGAACAGGTCACAGCGGCTGTAACCGACCTTCAGGAGTCAGAATGGCTCCAGACCCGAGATACTGAGCAAACCTATTACCAGGTTGAAAGGAAAGTGGTGGCCACGAGAGGGCGCTGTGGAGCCACCAAGGCACTGTCGGGGGAGGGGTGGGAAGAGCCACTCAGACTGAAGGTTTTAACTTCAGTGGAGGTCTCAGCAGAGAGCTGTCGGACACTGTTAGGCATGTCTTCATCTAAAGACATCCTCAGCAGACTCCTCAGCCCCAGAGCTGAGAGGAGAGGCCACAGATCCTACCTCCAGGGCCCTGGACAGCACCTAGGCCTGGGGAGCCACGTCTTCACAAGGTCTATACTCTGCCTCCGGAGAGCCTGGGCTTCCCTGGTGGCTCAGTCGGGAACGCGTCTGCCTACAATGCGGGAGACCTGGGTGTGCTCTAAGAGACCTGGGTGTGCTCGAGGAAAGCACACGACCCTCTCCAAACCAACTGAAAGGAAAAATCACTATGAAGTCAAAGCAAAAGATGCTGTGAGGCACCTCCAAGAACTGGGCAATAAAAGAAAGTTGGAAGATCCCCTGGAGAAGGAAAGGGCAACACACTCCAGTATTCTTGTCTGGAAAATCCCATGGACGGGGGAAGTGCAAAGTCAGACATGACTGAGCGACTTCACTTTCACAGAGAGCTTATAACCACTTTGGAAGAGCTTATAACCATTTGGAAGCCTCTGAGCTGGTTCTTCTTGCTATGCTTATGTTTACCACACAGCCTGAGATTAGGTTAGGTCTTTTATAGGAAAAGAATAAGGATCTGGAATACTTCATCTTTGGGGATACTTATTTTTTCATTATAAACTAATAAAACGGTATTCTGGTTTATACAGCGGTCCTCCGAGTCTGGTCACTACATCCAGCCCTACCAACAGATTAGATTTACTCTGGGTGTGCTCACCAAATCAGGTTTCTGAGACACCAAAGCTGTGGGTCAAAACCTGGACCTTAGAAAATACACTTTTAGGTATCTACAAAAACAGCTGGCCAGACTTGCCCAGATTATGGACTATTCTGCACTAATATCCAGGGGAAGATAATGATCTGATTTCCTACTGGCATATGAGAGTGTCAGGGCACACCTCCTCGGGCCGAGCTCCCCGGGGCCTGGGGCTGCAGCTTCTCTGTGGCACCTGGTACCCCAGGCAGTGTCAGAACAGGAGGCAGCTCCAAAGGTGCCCCCCACCCCAATTTTAAACCACCGCTGCCCCACACTGCCTAGTCTTAGAGAAACATAAAAAACAACGATCAGTTCCTGGCATAAGGACAGACACAGTGATCACGGGAACAGAATGGAGGGTCCAGAAATAAATCCTTACATTCATGGTCGACTGATTTTCAACAAACACACCAAGGCAAATCAGTGGAGAAAGGTCAGGCTTCTTGACCCATGGTGCTGGGAAAACCTGACATTCACAGGCAAAGAGATGAGCTTAGACTCTTCAGTCATACCACACACCAAAGTTAACTCTAAGAGATTTAAATGTTGGAGCTAAAGCAATAAAACTTTTGGGGAAAAAAAAAAAACATGGGGGAAATCTATGGGTAAGATAGTTATGACACCAAAAGCACCATTCTGAAGAGAAATAATAAAATGGACCTCATTAAAATTTAAAATTTTATGCTTCAGAGGACCCTATTAAGAAAAGGAAAGACAAGGAGAAAATATTAGCAAAACATACATCTGATAAACAACTTGTAGCCAGAATGTACAAAGAGCTCTCACAACTCAAAAAAGACAAAATAGCCAACCAAAAAAAAAAAAAAAAAAAGGGCAGGTTTCCCTGGTGGCTCAGTGGTAAAGAATCCGCCTGCCACTGTGGGAAACATAGGTTCAATCCCTGGGTCAGAGAGATCCCCCTGGAGAAGGAAATAGCAACCCACTCCAGTATTCTTGCCTGGGAAATCCCATGGACAGAGGAGCCTGGTTGGCTACAGTCTATTGGATCACAAAGGGTCAGACACGCTTGAGCCATTAAACAACAACAATTCATAGTTACCACCAGGCATGATTATAAGCAGATTCTGAAATCAGACTAGAATTAAGTCTTGGTTCTGTTACTATCTTTGACCAAGTGAGCCTCTCTGGACAGTTTGTTCTCAGACTCATGAGAATTTAATGGGCTCACACATGGAAAGTGATCAGTACAGTGACTGGAATATAACATACACTCATTAATGTTACTGTTACATCTTACAGATTGTTGATTAATGTGAACAAGTATCTAAGAAAATGTACAATGGAATTAGAATATCAAAGGGCCTATGACAGCATATTATCTCAGCCTGCTGGCAGGGAGTGGATAACAAAACACCCTCGTTAAGATTTGAATAGGTATTTTACCACAGAAGATACATGAATGGCTAGTAAACACATTAAAAAGATGCTCAACACTACTAGTTATTAAGAAACTGCAGACAAAGCCACGTGATATACAATTTCACATCCATTACGATGGCTTTAATAAAAAAGAATGGCAAATGTTGGTGCAGGACATAGAGAAACAGAAACCCTCATACACTGCTGGTAGGAATGTAAATGATGAAGCCATTCTGGAAGAGTTTGGGAGTTCCCTAAAAAACCCAACGTAAATTCACCACATGATCCAGCAATTTCATTCCTAATATCTATCCAAGACATGAAAACGTGGTCCACACACTTGTACATGAATGATCTTGCAGCATTATTCCTAATAGCCAGAAATCAGATCCAGCAACTGGTGAATGGATAGACAAACGTGGTACATCCATACGAAGGAACACTGTTCAGCCTTAGAAAGGAACAAACTGCTGATACATGTTACGACACTGTATCACATGGCAGACCACAAAAGTATTATCATTATGCTCAGGGAAAGAAGCCAGCCAGGAGAGACCACATGTTGTATGAGTCCACTGATATGAAACATCCAGAAAAGGCAAATCTGTCATAGAGACAGAAAGCAGGGTGTGGGCAAGGAGATTAGTAGTAATTGGCATGACAGGTCTTACTGAGGACATAAACATGTTCTAAAACTGACTTACAGGGGTAGTTGCACAACTTGTTAAATTTACAAAAAAAAAAAATCACTGAATTGTATACTTAAAATGGGTGAATTTCAATAACATTATGAAAAAAGAAATCATAATGATAAAGAAGTATATTCAGACACCTGGAAGCTACAGCATCAGACAACTGAGAAGGAAGAAACGACAAAGGAGGGCCCACAGGGTCAGTGCCCCAAACCCAAACGAGGAGCAGGACTGCCTCCTGCAGCAATGGGGCTGGGGGAGGAGCAAACAGCGGTTTCTGGGAAGCACCCAAGACAGGCAGCGTGGGAACCGCAGGCAGAGACCACACGAGCCAAGGGGCAGTTCCCAGGGAGACTGCCTGTGCCTCTGGGCCCGAGTCCACGCTGGCCCGCAATGCTCCCACCCGAGGAGGGATGGAGGGGCTGGTGCCTGCCTGACGGGAACCAGAAACCCGCTGCTGGAGGGGATGCGCCAAGGGAACCCCCTCCACTCCCACAGGAACAGTACAAACGCTTCCTGCGCCTTTCCGTCTCCTGCAGGTCAGCCCTGCCTCTTCCTCACTCTGTTTTCCTTCCCAGAGAGCAGCATGGCTGCAAAGAGAGGTGACCTCCCTGCTGCCCTCGTGCTGCCCCTGCCCAGGGGAGAGGCCCGCCGCTCACAAGGTGCCCTGCCTCTGAATGTATTGGCGAGCTCCATTCCTGAAGCAAGCTATAGGAAGCTCCATGAGGGGCTTGTGTGCACTGCTCTGACTACTAATTCATCTCTGCTGTGTTAAAGTAGATACTGCATTTTCAAAATAAATTTTGGGGGCCACAAGGCATGCAGGATCTTAGCTCCTCGACCAGGGATCCTGTCCCCTGTGGTGGAAGCATGGAGTCTTAAACACTAGATCACCAGGGAAGTGTCTACAGATTCTCCATTTAATTCCCAGTCAGCTCTGAGTCTACTTCTTAACCGGCTCAGATTAGGGACTGGGGGTGTGGGAGAAACAGGCTTTCCCACACCCCCATCCCTCACCAATTCAGTCACTCACCACTGTCCTCTGCGAGCTGCCACACCTGCAGGTTACACCCGGGAGGGCCACTGGTCACCAGCAACCTATTCAGGATGGACAGGGAACCTCAGCGCAGACAGTGGGGAGCTCACCCACATACCCCCAGCCTCTCCCTCTCCAGCGCACTCAGCGTGGGATCCCACACTCCCGACTGGGAGAGCTTACAGCAAGTAAGCTCATTTAACAGATGAGGGGCAGGCTTGATCCCCTCCAGGGACAGCTGTGGGACTGAGCCCTGGCTGCCACTTGGCATGACATGTCCAAGAGGACCCAGCAGGGAGCCCAAACACAGAACCCTCACCCACAGGCTTTTGGCCTCTGCCAACCGAGCTGTTAGCCCCAACCACCCACCATCGGCTCTCTGAGAAACTAACAGCATCCCTTCTGCTTTATGCCTTGGAGCAACACCACTGATCTGTGGGTTACAGTAGTCAGATGGTCTGTGAGGGACCAAGATACCACCGAGCACTGGTGTCTCTGTATTCCAGAGACAGCCCGTGCGCACAGCCCGTCCATGTGCCCCTGTGCTGAGGGCGGAGGGGGAGGGGTGGTGATAAAGAGGCAGGATCACCCTGCCGTTTGCAGCCACTCCATCCGGAACAGAAGATCTAGGTCACAGACAGAGCTGACCTTACCTGGTGTCTGGCACGTGCTTCAGATCAAAGACAGACCTGTCTGAAAATCCTCCATGCTGTACCTTGAAATCTCTTTCGGGGAATAAGCCCTAAAATACAAATAGGTGGCCAATCAGAGAGGGCTGCCCTCTAAAGAAGTGTTTCAGAGGAGTTCCAGGTGAGGAGCCATATCCCAGCCTGGCAGGAAACCCTGGAAGGCGCTCAGGTGGTAACGATGCTTCTTGAGCAGGGCCTCTGGGCACTGTTACTTGTATAATAAATGTTGGTCTCAGCTGCCTACAGAGATGGCTTTCTTTCCTGCACAACCAAAGCCTTTCTTCTAACCTTTCTCCATAGCAAAAGCATTATATTCCAACCCTGCTTAGGGGAGTCACAGAGGTTTAACAGTGTATCAGAGAAATAACTAGAATGTATCAGCAAACTCAGCCCCATTCCCCCGGCACCTCCCACCAGCAGTTAGGTGGGTTCCTCCAGCAGTAAAAATACAACCGTCAATCAACCAGTATTCACTGTGCCAGCCACCTTATTTAGTGCTTTATCACACTGAATTCTTAGAGCCACCCTGTGACATGGACAGTATAAGTATCCCTATTCTAAAATGACAGAGCTAGGGTACAGGGAGCTTAAGCAGCTTTTCTAAGGTCACACAGGGTTATGTTACACATCTGAACCCAAGTCTGTCTGACCAAAGTCCATGCTCTTAGCTGCTGGACCACTAGCTTCATGTGAGGAGCCAGAGGCAGGGGAAAGGAGGCGGCCACAAGCGAAAAGAGGAGGGACTTGCCTGGTGGTCCAGTGGTTAAGCATCTGACTTGAAATGCAGGGGATGTGGGTCCCTGGTCAGGGAACTAAGATCCCACATGCCTCAGAGCCCACATGCCACAAGATTTTCACATAACGCAACAAAGATCCCAGGTGCCACAACTAAGACCCAACGTGGCCAAATAAACAAATTTTTTATTTTTAAAAAGAGAGAGAAAAGGGGAAAAGCCAGGGGTGAGGTGAGAGGTAAATCAGGTCTCTTATCAAGGCTTGATTTTGGTGTGGTCCTGGCTCCTGAGGGGTGGAGATGAGGGAGAACAAGAGCGCTAGAAAGAAATTTACTCGAGGACAGCAAAGGCTGAACTGATCTAGCCGATGAGTCTGAGTGATCTCAGCGTGACATCAGGCAACCATCAACGTTTTTCATCACACATTCTTTTCTCCTGGTTTCTGGATCACTGGCCGTTTCTGAGATGCCTTCTACTTTGAACACTATTCACTCTCAGTATTCCTTGTGGGTCCATCTTCCTCTACCCATTCTTCAAATGTCCTCCCTGAGGTTCTGTCTTTAGCCATCATCTCCTCTCACTCTTTATACACTACACATCTCTGAGCTGATTTTAATCATTCTAAGGTTTTAACCACTGTTCATGCTCTAATGGCTCCCTAAATCTGTTTTTTTTTTTTTTTCACACCTACAGGATCTTAGTTACCCCCACCAGGTTTTGAACCCACTTCCACTTCCCTGCAGTGGAAGCACAGATAACTGGACCACCAGGGAATTCCCCCTCAATCTATTTTTGATAAAGTATAATTGACTTCTTGCTCTAGGAGCCCTCCGTAAATCACAGGATTTTCTGCAGCACTTACCTCTCTGCATATCTGCCTCTCTTTATTAGACTATAAGGGCAGGCTCAGTGCCTACAGTTTCTCTCTCTCTATTTACCCGGGAAAATATTTAGTAGACAATAGGAGCTCCATAAAGGTTTAACAAATGAGCAGAAGCAGACACATACATTCAGCACATATATTTCAAGTTACCTGGTTTTCTTTTACAGAAAGTCTAAGAGGCAGTATGAGATGAAGAATCTCATTTTTTTTCAGGCTTTCATAACCAGCAACCAAGATTCCTGGAAAAAGAAGCAGAATATGCTGGGACAAACTGCTAGAAAGATTGTGAACCATGGCTGGGTCTAGACACTTTGCATATGTCCCAAAGCAAAAATAAATTCCTTTGCCACTGGTATGCAGCCTCATATCGGGGGACTGGAAGAGAGCTAGATAGAAATATAATGCTGATAGAACAAGAAATTGCTGCAAGTGAGCAAGAGGTCTTCAAGTTCTCAGAAATGGTTGGGTCCCTCTAGGCTGAGCTCCTTGAGTCCCAGCTTCAGGAGTGGAATTCTGTCTCCTTCACGGTCACGAAGGGCATCTCACCTTTGTCACCAATCCATTCAAGCACTCGAGTGGCTCCTGAGAGGTCAAATGCATGGAAATCTTGGTACCTGAAGGACAGAGACACGATGTCACATATTGATGCATGGCACTTTTACAACTGTTCAAGATGAGATGTCAGCATGGTTTGGTGGTTGGGGGCCCAAGTTTTGGAATCAAGCAGAACTGGGATCAAATCTTGTTACATATTTTACCCTCTGTGTGACTGGGACCAGGTCAGTCACAATTTCTCTGAGCCTTGTCCTCATGCGTAAAATGGAACTCCCAGAGTACTTCACAAGGTTGGTGTGCAGAATCGAGAGAATCTTTAAGGTTTAACTCAGAGGCTGGTGCAAAATAAATGGTCACTTGCTTCCCTGGTGGCTCAGATGGTAAAGAATCTGACTACAACGCGGGAGACATGGGTTGGATCCCTAGGTTGGGAAGATTCCCTGGAGAAGTAAATGGCAACCCACTCCAGTATTCTTGCCTGGATAACCCCATGGACAGAGGAGCCTGGCCGGCTACAAGCCATGGGGTCGTATAGAGTTGGACACAACTGAGCAACTAACACTATAAAACAAAAACTATGCTATTATTATCCCCCACAAGCACAGCTCCTACCAGTACTTCACACAACTTGCACACACAGAAAGGTGCCATTTCCCAGAAGCGGGAGCCGAGGCCCAGAAGGAGTCCTCCGTACAGGTCCCACCCCACACCAGGATTCCCGCATGCTCCACCCCGCGCCCGTCGGCCCCCAGGCCAGTTCCCTGGCCCAGATTCCACGTCCCATGCCCACACGATTTACAAGCGCAAGGACTCCACCAGCCAGTCCTCCGCGGGCTCCATGGCAACAGTCGCTTCCGGTATCCTATTTCCGCCTCTGAATCTTCCTGGGCAGGCGCGGCCTTCTCGCGAGGAGTGGGCGCGGCCTGCCATGACCTGGGGGCGGGGCCCAGAGATGCCCTAGCGCAGGCGCAGACCTGCCGTTCTTTTGCCGGGCTCAGTCTGGGGTTCTCCGGATAAACTCTCCTGGAAAAATGACGTCAAGTCAGGGATTCCCAGGATGTCAGTTCCAGACGGGGCCTGAGGGATCAAATACACTCTGGTTTTATGAGCGTGTATTTACAGATCAGAGGAAAAGGCCCGATAAAATACGCCCCGTTAAATTCGAATATTATGTAAAACAGAGAGTAGTTTTTTCATTTATGTCCATGCAGGGACATACTTTTTCACTAAGTATGTCCATGCAAGGACTTCTTGGCAGTGCAGTGGTTGACTTCGTGCTCCCAATGCAGGGGCAAGGGTTTGATCCCTGGTCTGGGATCTAAGACCCCGCGTGCCATAGCGCAGCCAAAAAAACCCAAAACCAAAAAAAAAAAAAAACAAAAAAAAACCCCACAGTTAAGTCCAGTTAACCACAGTTAAGTTATTCGACTATAACGGAGTGTCCTGTATGTTTATTTGCTAACAGTCAGTCCCACAAGGCCAGAGAAGAGAGTAAGGGGACACCGGGGTCTGGATCCCAGCTCAGCTCTCTTCTTTGTAAGCGCTGCGCACTCCCCTCAAACCTTGGCGAGTAGATAAAATCAGGTAATAGAAGCCCTCCCGTGTAGTGTAGGCAGTTCTCTTACAGGTGGGAAACAGGAGAGACTTGCCTCTGCCAGTAGGTGGCAGCGGCGAGAGTAGAAAAGTGGCTGGCAGAGGACCTGGCATCCCAGCAGGCACTGAGTGAGTACCTGCTTGCGAATGAGTGGATGAGCAGAAGCCCAGAATCAGTACCAGGCTGGTGCCACAGAGTGTTCTGGGCTCTTTGGGGCCAGCCCCATCTCAGTGAGCACCAGGTCTTCCAGTCTCCTTTCCCTCCCATCCCCTCCAGCGCAGGTAGAAGGAGAGGACCACACAGTCTATGTAAAGAGCAGGGTTTTATTCACAACTTCAACAGGGAAGCAAGAAATACGGCAGGGACGTCATTTGCATCTGCACCGGCAATATTCCTGACAGCCCAACCAGAAATCACAGTAGTGGAGTGACAGAGGTGTGAGCCCATGATTTACATCCAGATGGGTCCCATGCAGCACCTTCCCTGGGTGGGCACAATCTCAGCCATGTCGTCGTGTCTTCCTGATTAATAGCATCACTTCTGCAGCATTTGCACCAGCAGCCTCCTGTGCTGAAGGGGAACACACAGAGGAATTGGCCCGGGCAGGGGTGGGGCAAATGATAGGGGCATCCTGCCATTCCTAAGTGCAGGGCACCCACAGAGGTTGGCAGGGGCAGCCTTCCTACCCCACCAAGGGCCTGGGAGGGGTCAGGGCGGTGGTTTTCTCAACCTCACAGAGACAGTCAATGGAGATCTTAGAAATAAAGTCCAAGCACCAGGCCCGGCCCTGGGCCAGACAGTGTTTTGACTCCCTGACCTCCAGTCTGCCCCAAACCTCACTTCTGAAGTCCCACCCCCCAGGGCTAGGTACTGCTTCCTCTGAGATTTTCGAGTTGGTCTTCATGTTTCGGGCCTTCAAGACCAGTGGACCCAGAGGGTCCATCGTCTTCCTTCAGACCCAGCCAGCCTGACCTAGCCCTTACGCCGCGCGGCTTGCGAGGTCTTAGCTCTCCAACCAGGGATCAAACCCATGTCCCCTGCAGTGGAAGCAAAGAGTTAAACTGCTGGACTGCCAGAGGAGTACCAGGCTGTTGGTTCTGTGCATCAGGAGGGTCAGGGTTGACTGGGGCTGGGGATGAACTTTCTGTAGGGAATGCCCCCCCCTTCTTTCACAATGTATACACTATATGCTAGGCACAGTGGGAGACACACAGTTAAGTCAGCCACCGGTGCTGCCAGGGAGCTCACAGACTGGTAACAGGTTCTGTTTACTAAGTGTTTTCTATGCATTAGGCATCACGCTCAGCATGTGACATAAATGTTCTCATTTAAGGAAGAGGGACACTATTATTCCCATTTTCGGGTTGAGGAAGATGAGGCTTCGAGAGGCTAAATGACATTTCTAAAGTCCCACAGCTACCAAGTAGCTGGATTATGAGCCCAGAATGCTGTCACCAGAGTCCACATTCTACTATACCTTACAGCCTTCTTTACAGAGCAACAAAGCACCAGGGAGGGTGTGTGGAATGGGGAGGCGCCAGGAGCAGAGAATGGATGAGCTGCCCCTCTGCCAGGCTGGAGACGAAGGCTGACTTGGCTTCAGCTCTGGGGCCTTGAACCCTATGTGTGTGCGTGCTCAATCACGTCCGTTGTATCTGACTCTCTGGGACCCCATGGACTGTAACCCACCAGGCTGCTCTGTCCATGGGATTCTCCAGGCAAGAATACTGGAGTGGGTTGCCATGCCCTCCTCCAGGGGACCTTTGAACCTGCATGTCTTACATCTCCAGCATTGGCAGGCAGGTTCTTTACCACGAGCACCACCTGGAAGCCCCTGCGCCCAAACCCCATAGGTCAGTGGTTTACAACCAAGGGCGATTTTTTTGGCTCCCTCCCATGACCCCTTACCAGGGGACCTCTGGCAGTGTCTGGAGCATTGTTAGTTGTCATAACTGTGGGCATAGAGGGAGGCTATGCCAGTGGATAAAGACAAGGGAGGCTGCTAAACTTCCTACAATGCACAGAACAGCCCCCACAATGTAGGACTGTCCCGCCCAGAAGAGCAGGAGTGCTGGGGTTGAGAAACCCTGCCAGTGGTCACTGAGGCGAAGAGTGCTGGTCAAAGTGAACAAGGTCCAGACTTGGTCCTGGCTGCTGAATCACTCTTTTCACCCTTTCTGTGGGCCCCAGGGTCCCAATAAGCACATACAGGGCACAACAAAGGTGGACAACAGGGGTGGGGCAAGTCTGCATAGACCAGGGGGTGAGGGGTGGGGGGAAAGGTCCTGCTGGAAGAAGCTGGATAAGCCCAGGCTGCGCCTTTGGACTGGGCAGTGGGTGAGGAGGAACACCTTCCCCTACTTTTTTGTCCCTCGGGGTTTGCTGAGAAGGTGAGCTCCCTTTCTTTGGAATCCTCCCACTTTGAGCTCTGGATCACAGGGAGAGCCTAGAATCCCTGGCTTTCCTGGGCCTCTCCTGCCCTGGCTGGGCACTCATACCCTAAGCCCAATGCAGGATCTAGGGGGAGCCCTGGCTGAGTTCTCCTGGCTCACCTGGGTGTGAGGTGCTGGGCCACTCAGGGTCATGCCCAGAGCTTTCTTTTGCAGGAGGACCCTGAGCAGATGATGACTCAGCCGTGGGGTCTGGTCCCTCAGGGAGGTGTGAGGAGCTGTCCCCAGTAGGGATGGGCTGGGGGGCTCCAGGCTCTTCTTGCCCATGAAGTGACCTAGAAAGGAGGTGCCAAGGCACAGGGAAGTCAGGGAGCAAGGATGCTATCCCAGTGGGCAAGTCCCCATCTCTCCCACTTCTCAGTTCTCCTGGCAGGAAGATACACACACAGCCTTTCTCCTCCTGGTCACCGGAAACCAACAAAGAACCCCCAGTGGTGGCAAACCCTGCACCTCAGCTTTTCCGGAGCAGGTAGAGGTGGGTGGAGGGGATGGCACAGCTGGAAGGGGCGGTGGGAGGCTCCAAGGGCCAGGAACAAACTCTGCCAGTTGTGCTGTCTGCTTAGAAGAGGGACGGGAAACAGCAGAGAAAGAAGTGAGGACAAGAGGTGTCTGGAAGGTGGAGGTGCAGAGAGAAGACACACTAGAGGTCGGAAGATTCAGTGCAGTCTTGTCTAAGGGAAGAGGCACAGACTGGCAGGTAGATCTAGGATCCAGCCTCAGCTCTGCTTTAAACCGGCTGAGTGAATGATTTAAACCAAGTCACTGGGTCTGGGTCTCAAGTTCCCCCATCTTACTAGATGAGTTCCAGGGTCCCCACTAGCCTGGACACTAGTGTCCATGTTGAGGAGAGGCCAGAGAAGGAAGGTGGGAGGGACGGGGAGCGCTTGCCGGAACCCCGAAGACTCACCGGTGGCCCAGAGGTTGCCCCGCGGGTGCACTCGGATCTTGCTGGCCCGGCTGCGGGGCTCCGGGAGATCCCAGCCGAGCGGGGCGGCGCCGGCCGCGAGCAGAGTGAAGAGCAGGAGGCCGCCGAGCAGCCGAGCGCCCCCCGCCCGCAGGGTCATGGCTGGGCGCGGGCGACGCCTCAATGTAGGTGCACTTGGCGGTGGCTCCGGTCGCCGGCGCGCCTTCCCTCCTTTTAAACCCGCGCCGCTGGGGGCGGAGCCGCCCCGAGGAGCCCGCCCCCGGCGCGCTCACGGCCGTCCCGGCCCCGCCCTCTCGGAGTCTCTCGAGTCGGCCCGGGCCAGGGTCCGGGACCCCCTTTACCGCCCCTACGCCCGCACTCCTGACCCGACGTGGGCATGGCTTCCTCAGGGTGTCCGGGCCCAAGCCCACCAGCTTCAAGCTGAGGATGGGGGCAAAGCCGGCTCCCCTGGCCCTCCTCGCCACTCCCAACGGCTTTCGGCCCTTCTTCAAGGTAGAAAAGGGGGCGAGAACGCCGCCTTCCTGGGTAACAAAAGCGTTACTGTGCCCAGCAAAGTGCCGGGCGCCAGAGGAGCTTGCCAGTCGGCCCCTCCCTCTTGGAGCATCTGACCTGCTCACCCACCTATCTTTATGCCCTCTCTCTCCCAGCCAGCACTCACCAGGTAAGCCGAAATCACAGCACATGCTCCGGATGGGAGTGCAGAAGGATGGAAGGGGAGCCTTCCTCAACCCACCTCAAATGGTGAGAGCCTGGCTTCTCAGTCGCCCAGGAGGGAGAGCTTTGGGTCAGGGGAGTGAAAGGAGCACTGGACCTGGAGTCCATATACAAGCTGTGTGATCTCTTTGACCCTCACCTTCTTCAACTGTCAAATGGGAATAACCCTGCTGCCCTATTTTTAATAATTTTTCATCTTTTTAGCCCAGTTATTTTGTGGCAGGAAGCAGCAGTCCTACAGGACTCTCAAAGTCAGCACTCTCCTCTCAAGGAGCCGTCCAGGCTTGTCTTGGAAAGAACTTTTAGGTCAGTGGCAACATTTAATGAACAGGAGAAGACGCTGTGCTCCAGAATAATACATTTATTTTTGCTTAAATGTTTACCAAACACCAACATTCAGAGCACCATGCTAAGGACAGGAGGGGAGACAAAAGATAACCATCTGCTTCCACCGTAGCTGACCATCTCATTGGAGAGACAGTACAAAAGCAGTCAATGACAGAGACGCAGGATCCCAACCAACCCCTGGGCTCTGGACTCTTCTCAGAAACACTGCAGTGTGGCTGTGAGAGAACCTACTCCCCAGACTGGCTCAATAATGGTACCTGCTATTATTACTCTTGCCATGTCTAGCTCAGCAAGGCTCTGGGGTCACCATCTTAAAAGGGAAAGTGTGTACAAGAAGCTGATTGTCATGCTGAGCTCCCAGAAAGCATGACAGGCAGGACAAGGACACTCCGTTTCCGGCCCAGGCTTTCTTCCCACTCTCCCTGCTTCTCATCTCCCACCCTGGCATTTACACCTCTCTGTATTCTTGTCACTGCTTAAGCCATAGTGTACAGATAGAGCTCTCATCACCTTCCCATTATAATCGTTCCCTTTTCGACCCCCTCCCTCTTCTTGCATCACACACCCATCCTGTCTTCTCTGGTCCTCGGTCATAGAAGTTAGGAGGTGGTATTGAGTGCTGCCTCACTTAGATGCTTGAAGGAATCTTATTTGGCAGGTTTATCTCTCCTCATTTTATAGCTGAAAGCAGGCTCGGACTGGAAACTTGCCCAGACGTCACACTGGAATCAGACTTCAGGTCTGTTCAGAGCACTCCTTCAGGCCCCCAGAGTCACCAGGAACCGATGCTGCTTTCTCTGAGCCACGCCCACTCCCGCTGTACCATCCTGTTAAAGAGCAGGTTGGTGTGGATTTCTCAAGGGGGCGAGGGAGCAGGCAATGACTGACTGAGTTTCACCTCTCTTCTACAGGTGACCCTGGCACCTTGGTTCTGCTCTGACAGATTCACTCACAGTTAGGCAAACCTCCTCTGACATAGCCTGTGTTCACAGCTCCAACCACACCTGCGAGAATGATCCCTGATGCCCCTGGGGATTATTTCATCTGTCAGGTGAGCACAGGAAAAGAGGGGCTTCCAAGGATCCCAGAGAAAGAAGCAGGGCAGCAGCTCCACAGCCAGCTATAAGCCACTGTCCCAGGAATGTGCAGCGTTAGGCACAGCAGACAAGGGGCTTGCCCAAGACAGCACTTCCACGTTAGATCCCTCAGGGAGTAGTGCTGGGCTGAGTTTAAAGTGAGGACCTCAACTGCACAATCCCTGTTCCTAAGTCCTCTCTCTCTGCCAGAAGACAGACAGTGAATCACATGGACAGTGAATCATATGGAACTGCCAGGGGAAGCTCTTCAGAGCTCACTCTGACCCTCTGAGATTTCAGACAATGCAGAGAAGATTCAAAGGACACCCACAAGATGCATAAGGGGTGAAAGATACATGGCAAATCCTCTGATAACCAACACCAACCAAATATTTAGACTGCATCATGCTTTTAATCAAAGATTGCTTAAAATAAAGAACATATATATTATTGATTGCTATGTTTCATTAAATTAGAATCAATTACAAATAACATCTTTTCACAGCCAAACCTTTGTTATTGTTTTCCAAAGCACTTACATGCACACTCCTTTGATCACCAACACTACTCTGATGCAGTAAAGGCTAGTACTATGATCATTTTATAGATGAGTTAACTCAAGTAAACACAAGTTAGTTGCACAGAAGCTAAACAAACAGAGAAAACCTGAGTGTGGACTTCAAACACATGAAAGTTACAGAGGACAAAAGAGAAAATAAAAGGCAGAAATTTAAATGAGACATAAATGAGCCTAGAGAACAAGGAAGGGTGACAAACAGATGCTCAGAATAAGATGGTGTAAAATCAGTCTCCTGGCAAATCTCTGAGCACAGATCCCATATGCATGGGTTGTGGAGAGAAAGAGAAACATCTTGGGACATCTCAGGTCCTGCTCTTTAGGTTCAGAATGGGCAAGGGGCTGTAGAATCAGGAGAAATGCATAATCTTTAAGAGAGGAAGAAAAAGTGTCAGGGATATTTGATACAATTTCACAAAGTCAGAGAAGTGAGAAGCCCCAGGACCCGTGTTCATAAGATGATTTGGGTGTAATAGGTACTTCAGGGGGCATTTCAGTAACTGAAATAAATACTCTTTTAACTCCAAAGAGGTTTAAATGCTTGGAAGTTTACCTGAGAATCTCACTATTTCTAGGAGATTTACTGAGGAAATCCATGGAAGAACAACCTAGGGCTTCTATGAAAGAACAGCCAAGGGCCTTGTGATTGTGGGGCTTATTCCAGATAAATGAATCTCATGAGAGTTTATAAAGGTAGAATAACTGGGTTATGACATTGTGGCCTGGTAAACATAACCAGAATTCAAGTTCTGGCTCTGCCACCCACAGGTCTGGAGATCCTGGGCAAATCTCTTCACCTCCAGTTTCTCTCTTTTGTAAAATGTAGTTTATTTTGAGGACTAAAGGAGAAAAAAAAATCTCTTATAAATTCAAAAGCACTTGGCTGAGCACTGGAGAAATTGGAGTACTCACTATTATTAGCTGGATCCTACGAAAAGCAAAGCCTGCCTTACATCTGAAGCCCATTACAGGGGGAAAGCCTCCCTGGGTAGTGGGTGAGGCCATGGTATTGACACAACAGTCTGCAAAATGCCTATTACATTGTCACTTGTTTGATAAACAAATGCTAGCATACCTACCTCCAAGAAACCAATTCCAAGAAACATGTTCTATATGGCATTCTCTCTCCTTGCTTAAATAAGCTGTCAAGCTGACAACTCTCATCAAAGCATCATGCGAGCAGATTTCCTTACTTGCCTGCCCAAAGTCCTGAGTATAAATTATTTTAACTAGATTCCTTGAATTAAAGCTGGAAACCAGCTTGAAAGGGTTCCAAATTTGGCTCAAATGGTAAAGAATCTGCCTGAAGTGCAGAAGACCTGGGTTAGAACCAGCTTAGCCATCTAAATAAACCAGCCAGTTAAAATAAGGGTTTTACAGAAATGATTCTTGATGGAGAGTAGGTGGCATTCCAGAAATTCCTAAAATTAACAGAACAAGGATCTATAATTTGAAAGTTGCCTTGAATATAACTGTATATGAGAGATGAGTAACTACTGTTTTTATGGTACAAACTTAAGAAGAAGCAAGATAACATGTTCCTGGCTGGTAAGGATAAGAGGCTGGATATAACAGATCTGAAAAGAGGTTTATCAGAATGGAAAAGAGGTATGAAATTTTTGTTTCTTAAAAAAGACCAAGAGTTTATAAGGACTTCCCTGGCAGTCTAGTGGTTTAAACTCTGCACTTCCAGTGCAGGGGGTACAGGTTCAATCCCTGATCAGGGAGATCCTGCATGCCACATGATGTGATAAAAAAAAAAAAAAAAAAAAGACCAAGAGTTTTTAAAGATTAAGGAAAACTGCTTTACAGGAAAACTAACTGAAGGAAGATTCCTGGCTGATTAGATGAGTAGCTGATCTTTTGCGAGGTGGCTTTCTGCAGAAGGGGCCAAACTATACCTGAACATTCTCAGGAACAGCTCTATGAAAATCATTAGGCTAATTTATATAGAGATTATTGCATAATGCTACATAGTATCCTTGCAGTGAGGTCTCAGAAGAGAAGTTTCTAGATTTCTGAGTGTCGTTAAAAGTTTTAAAAAAAATTCCCACTTTATATCCATTCCATGAACCATAGATATGATTCTTTCCCTCTTCACATTAGCACCTAAGGAGCTGAGAACCAAAGCGATGGATCTTCTCCAGCAGACAGCAGGATCTTCTAACATGTCTTGTAATTACTAACCTCACCTCCCATTTTATCCTTTTCTCCTCCCATGCTTATTTCAACCCCAAATTCTTCAACTGTTTTATATCATATCACATAGTACTGGAAGTATCTTTATGAGCCATTTTGTTCCAAATCCTTTCTGGAACAAAAGAGGGTATAAATAAATCTAAAATGTGGAAAACACTGTGACAGGCACTAGGGGATATACAAGAATGAACTACAGGCTGGTCTTGTTTTCAAGCCTTCAAGGAGCTAGTTGGAGAGCTGGACACACATAAGACAAACCACTCTGAGGACAGTGAATAAAGTACTGAGGAGACAGCACCAAGAAGGAAGCACTGTATACCTGAGAGCTTGGTGAATTAGAAACACCCCTGTGCATCTCTTAAGGTTGCACTTATGATCCTATGTGGAAAGATCTGTTTACACATTGCCCCAATTAAGGCACTGAGTTCCTGGCAGAGGAGGGACCTTGCCTCACTCATCTTTGTCTCCCCAGGGCCTGGCCCCAAAGCTGGCACAGAGTAGATGCTCAATAAATGTCTCCTGAATGAGAAAGCTTTTAGTAAGTGGAGAAGTGAGCAGGCACTCCAGGCAGGGCGACCCAGCATAAACAAAGACTGGATGTCTATACAGTGAGACCATTGTCAAGGCTATGAGAACCTGGGGTCTGCTAAGAGCTGAGGTGAGAAAAACCCTGCAGGCCTGGGATGCTACAGGACCTAGAAGGCAATGTCCTCGCTGTTTCTGATAACCTCGGCATATTCTAGTTCCCAACACTGTTTGGTTACACAGAATTCTTTCTATATCCAGATTCACCATAATTATGTGTGAAGGGTTAAATTTATTGTTTTATTTCGGAAACTTCTCTGGTATTACTTGAGGTTATAATAAGGGACAATAGGGACAGAGACATGCCTGGCCAGGAAACAGCCTGAGGAGCTGACAAAGGTCCGTATAGTCAAAGCTATGGTTTTTCCAGCAGTCATGTATGGATGTGAGAGCTGGACCATAAAGAAGGCTAAGTGCCAAAGAACTGATACTTTCTAACTGTGGTGCTGGAGAAGACTCCTGAGAGTCCCTTGGACTGCAAGGAGATCAAACCAGTCAATCCTAAAGGAGATCAATCCTGAATATTCATTGGAAGGACTGATGCTGAAGCTGAAGCTCCAATACTCTGGCCAACTGATGTGAAGGGCCAACTCACTGGAAAAGATCCTGATGCTGGGAAAGACTGAAGGCAGGAGGAGAAGGGGATAAGAGATAATGAGATGGTTGGATGGCATCACCGACTCAATGGACTTGAGTTTGAGTAAACTCTGGGAGATTGTGAAGGACAGGGAAGCCTGGCATGCTGCAGTCCATGGGGTTGTAAAGAGTAGGACACAACTTAGCAACTGAACAACAGAGGCGCATCCTGAGGAAGGTGGATAATCCATTCAGCCAGCTGGAATTTCTGAAGCTCAATAGGGTGATAAACGTCATAAGAAAGGTATCTTCAGAACCAGGGGGAGCTCCCACACCAGAGAGGGTATTAGCATTTGGTAACATCCTTATGCAAATGACCAAGAAATACAGTCAGGGATAACAGAGCCTTTATTCCAAGCCTAGGTTCTTTGAGAAGCCTGTGACTCCCTAAGAAAACTGACAAAAGCCAATACTTCTCCCACTGAGAAAGAGAACACAGGAAGAGACCAAGAACACACAAACAAAATGAAGAAAACAGGATTAACATAAAATATTCTAGAAAAGGAACATGTCGTTTTAAATAGAACCGTTGGGAGATAAAGTTTTTTGATTTAAATTTGGCAAGACCAAGATAATGTACTCACTAAATATCAGGCAAATACAAATCACTTTAATGATTCATATGCTCCGATCCAGGATAACAGCACAACAGTGATGCTACCCTTAGTTACTGCTTCTGGTTCCAATGCATGATTATACTAAACACTTGGTATATGCTGCCGGATGCTACTGGGAAAACTGAGCACAGTGTCTATAAAACGGGGCTCCTGCACTGGAGGAACTTACAGTCCGACAGGGGAACTTGAGTCCACAGCCACCAAGATACACAAATAGTGTAAGGCTGCAAACACTGAATGACAGAGAAGGAATAATTACGTTGTGAAAAAAGTGAGACTCGGATAAGCAGAAATGCGAGTATAAAATAAGTGAAAACATGGTGGTACAGCACAAGGTTGCTTCATGTCAGCACAATTCAAAGTCTGAACTTCACACGTAGGAAATACGAGGGTAAATACAAAATCTGTGGTCTAAAAAGAGACACTTCCTAAAGGTAAAAGGGGTATGAAAATGAACTAACAGGTGGAAATTATCTAAAATAGGCACACCAGCATGTTACAGGAAAACTGGACGTAAAGTCATGCAAGCAACAGTCATGAGTTATGTTTCTGGATTCAAGGGATGGCGATGAGAATGGGATGACATGGATAAATGCTGGCTTTTAAATGACTAAATATGATGAGAAAATGACAAATCCAGGCAAATATGCCTTCAAAGAGATGATGAAATGTAAAGGGGAAGTTTGAACAAATTGCCATGAGCTTCAGTTTAAAGACAGGATGATCGACTGGAGGAGTCCTGTGGGAACAGGCAGAAACGACTGGAACTGAGGACAGGCACTGGAGACACTCATGGAGACTGATGAGGTGATGACTCACAGCCAACAGATAGTCCATTATCATGTCCTCATCCGAAGTTTTCTCAATTCCTCTTCGATTCTCTTCACTCACAATGGTTAAACCCACCTAACTTCCCACTAGCCCTGTAAAATCTCAAAGAACTTATACTTCCCTTAAAATAACGAATCAAGCACCTTTGGCATTTCTTACATTTCCAAAGAGCTTTTAAAAATACATCTACTGAGATTTCACTGGCAGACCAGTGGTTAAGACTCCGCACTTCCAACACATGGGGCACAGGTGTGATCCCTGTTCAAGGAACTAGGATCCCACATTCCTTGTGGTGTGACCAAAAAAAACCCACATTATATTTACTAATAAAATCTCCCAGTTTTAAGTCTTATATTTTAGCACTAAAATATAAAACCTGGGAACACGGTACCTCATTCCACAAATAATGTTGTTGTTTTTTTTATTTTTGGCTACTAGAGTGAGTCAAATATTTTTAAAAGATCTGATTACTTTTCAGAGAAATTTAGCTGTTGCTTCAAACTATGGCATCCAGTAAAGGAGAAAAAGCAGTAGTTTTATAAGACTGGGCATGAAAATAAGCAACTGAGGAAAATATAAACACTTCCCTCCCAGTAAGTGTAAAAGGAGGAGGAACCTGGATCACGAAGGATACAAGTACAAGCATGTTTACACTCTGGCGAGCTAGGATCACAAAGAACTTTGAGATCCCAACCTCTGCCAGCAGAACACACGACTTCTCCCCAGAGAAGTCTCAGAAAGGTTGGTACAAAAACAGCCAGTTACTACTGGCTCTGCAGTTAACCCCGCCATCTTTAGGTTGTCAGGAAGGAAAAAGGGAGTAAGCAGCAATTTTCTACCACATGTGGAGGTGGGGTGGGGGTGGGGGTACATTTCAGCACTCTCCTTGGCTCACGAGAAAATAGAAACACTATGTAAGCCTCAAAGACAGGTTCAAAGAAGCTCTTGTTAGCAGTAATTTGCCAAGTTTCATACTCTGTTGATATCTTTAAGAGTCTGTATGCAAAGTTTGAAAGCTAAAGCCTAGAGAATGGATTTAGGATGGCTGATCTCTACAGGGCAGGGTTTCAGAAGATTAATGTCCCTGTTCTCATTCCATTAGAATTAAAGTATGGGCTGATTTCCACCTCAGTTGAACAAATCATAAAAACCATTCATTTAGCCCACTATTTTGCAAAGTATTGAGATTTCACACTAATACAGAGAGAACAGAAAGGATTAAGAGTCTTTTGTGCTTAAAACACACCAGTTACCACATACTCCCTATTTCCTTTACTGTCTCAGTATTAAAAAAAAAGAAAGCAACTGGGCTTTGCCTTCATCACCTTAAACCTTGCCTTCTGTTAGTCTGCATTAGAGAAAAGCAAAGCCAGGCATTTAGGAGAACAGATTCAGGCAAGTTAAGAGTCTAAAGAAAACAAGTAGCATACTTGCCCTCCAGCACCTTCCTCACGCCTCCCCCAGATGCTAAAACTCACTGCCACCCTGTAGAAAGGGTTGAGAAGGTCTCAAGTGCAGAAAAGGTTACAAGTCTACAGGAAAGTGAGTTACTGAACCTCTCAGCAACCAGCGGGGCTAATACACATCTGAGCCACACCCTCGTGAAGAGTCAATTTTATGACTAAGAGATCCTACTTCTGCTTCACAAAAACAAAAACAAGCAGACAAAAACCAATTGTCAGCATTAGGACAAACTTCTTGGCTGAAGAACTGTTCCCATCAAAGCCTTTACCTCCCCAAGGGGCGCTAAGAATCAGCAGAGGAAAGCAAATTTCAAACGCTTTCCCGACAAACACCAAGTCAGGGATAAGGGGTTTCAATATGCAAAGTCTTTTATTTAAAATTTTGAAAAGTTAAGACTATGACCACCTCAGTATACGCCATTCCCATTAGAAGGGGGAATGGCAGTTTCAAACTCGGGCAGAACTGTATTTTCATTTACAGAATTCTGTAGGCACTTTAGAAGTGAAGCTTGGCTTCAAAATACAAACACTGGGGGCTTTGGCTCAACCTTTTAATATAAAAAATTCACTGATGTACAAAAATGCGAAGTGTGACAGTGACAACATATGAAAATCTGTGACTGAAAGTCCCCTCGAGTGCACGTGGTGGTGCACACACACCCGCCCACACGTACTCTGGCGTGGAAACATAAACTAATGCAAACCAGTGCTACCAAGAAGCGCCGACATATGTTCTCCATTCCACCAACCACAGATCGGCATCTACTCCAAACATTCAGTAACAAAAAGTACAGCATCTTCCAGGAACAGCAAGGCAGACTTCTTACTCACGATGGACCAGCACAAATAAACCCAGCAAAAAGAGCACAGCGTACTAGAAAATAAACACAGAAGCACAAGTCAGAGAAGCTTGGAAAAGTTCACAAAGCCTCAGTTAATTAACTGGCCTTTGGGACCATGATAAATCACTAAATCATCCAACTGGCCTTTCATCTTTTAACTGTAATCCATTTAATAGTTTCCAAAACTCATGAAACACAAAGTATCAGATCTTACCTTAAATTTAGGATAGTCATTCATGAGGATCGTCACAATCCCAATATAAGGAACAAATCTAAACAAACAAACAAACAAGAGATTGAGCATCACAGAACTTTCTAAGTAGCTATTATCATTTACGGAACATTCTCAGTTCTATCTTCCATTGAATACTGATTTTCGGCTGACAAAGTCCACTTGTATATACTGTTCTATTAGACTCTTTCAACAGCCCATGTGATAGGGAAGTTAGCGATATCACCATTTTAGAGATGAGGAAACAGTTGCTCATGCCCAAGGTACATGGTAGAACCAGTACCAGATTTGAGGTATCTGACCTCTAGTTGGTGACCCTAACGCCACATGCTTATTCAGTGTCAGGGGCTGGGCTTGTTGTTATAACCTTGGGAAAGCTGTCAGTCTAGCTGGGGAGACCAGGCAAACACAGCCAGAACTTTACAAGGTACTTCATGTTAAGTGTCCCAAAAGTGAGTGTAACAGCTCTATTATAGTACTTAAGATTTCACCACTCTCTCCTTTTATAACCATGTGTAATCTGACTTGGGCTCTCTTCATCCTGAAACTTCTTTTGGAAGAGTCTAAAGCCGCAGTAGCTCAGTTGGTAAAGAATCTGCCTACAACGCGGGAGACCTGGGTTCGATCCCCGGATGAAGGAAAGAATACAACTACTCACTCCAGTATTCTGACCTGGAGAATTCCATGGACTGTATAGTCCATGCGGTTGCAAAGAGGAGGACATGAGTGAAGCAACTTTCACTTTCACTGCCTGCAGAAGATCCATCTCAGCTTCCGTCTTCCTTTTCATCTCTCCAGCATTTGACTTTTGATGACCTGAAACCTGCCCATGAAACCTTTCTCCTTGGGTTCCATTAAAACACCAGTCTCTTCCTCCACCTCCACCTACTACCTCTTGGCTGCAACACCTGTTTTTTTATTTTTCACTAGTTCTTGCTTTCCTGTCATCCCTAAAGTTTGTGCCCGCAAACTAGGTAAAAACCACACATTAAATAATCTCATAGCACCTCATATATTTTCTCAGAAATCTTCATCATGAGTTTAATTACAGAATTAGTTGCCTAACTAGCTGGACAGTATCTGTCTTCCCTACTAGACTTAAGCTCTCCAGGGGCAAAACCAGTGGCAATCTGCTCCCCACTGTATCTTCAAGGCCAAACATGTTCTATACACGGCACACAGTAGGCTTCCAGCAAAGACTGCCAGACTGAAGGTTGGGATGTCCTGGCCTCATCTTTTCTCTTTCCCTGGGGAATCTCATCTCCTCCCAGGACTTCAATTCTCCCCTCAAAACAAAAGACTCCTCAACATAAAAATTCAGGGGAGAGAGATATGTGGGAGGAAACAGCTGTTAGAAATGTACAACTTTCTTTTTCTTCCTCTGCTCCTGTTGGATTCCAGAGTGGACTGGGTGATACCATCCTAGAGACGGGAGGCTTATCTTCACCTATTTCAAAGTATCTCAGACATTTTTATTCAGGGCACTCACAACTGTTGCACACACCAAAGGTGCACAAACATAAATGACCTCCTATATAACACCTCCACCATCAAAGGCTCAGGCAGTCTTGAAAAACAGAAGTTTCGTCTGGGGTGGGTGCATTTTACTTCCTTTTGAGAACTCCTCTTACTTCCTGTTTGCTGTCCCCACCCCCATCCTACCCTTCTCCCTTCTGGCAGTACTATCCAGACCCATCTCTCCTCCTCCCCAAACTCCCATTCCTGTAAGTTGATGTTTCTTAAAACCTACACCTCTGTTGTGAGAATCACTTAAACAGCTTGTTGTGATGCTCTATCTTCCCAGGTTTACTGAGTCAGTGTACCTCCGGAAGGTCGGGCCCAAATGACACTTCTGCACATTTAAGTACAAGAAGCACAGCTTTAGCCAGTGAGATGTATGGAACAGGTGTGTAGTGACAGTAACTTCCTCTTTTAGGGACCATGCTTTAGTTTTGACCCCTGGGACCTCTAAGAACTGAACAGTCACTACAGAATGGCCTTGCTAAAGCTCTAGGAGGGTAGATAAAGGTTTTCTATATTTTTAATACATATGTTTTTTCCTTTTAATGCAACAACTCTTATTTCTTTTGTCTCATTTATAACATCTCAAATAAGCAACAGTTTCCAGTCTTTCAGAAAGAAAATCATCTAATTTAAGAATATAAAGGCAAATGCCTTTCAGTAAAATGCAGATTAAGTTATAAAAGCATCTGTGACTTCCATGAAAACAATGATCAGGCTGCCAATTCTGGCCTGATGAGCAATCAGCAGCCATTCTCAGCGGTAGAGACTTTCAGTGTCACCTCCATGCAATGATATCTGTGCTCAAAAAACCAATGATTACACAGTCTGCTTATAGGTTATCCGTGGAAATATTTTTTTCCCCTAAAGGTGGTTCTACCTTGCTTACCATAAGTGAAATAGAAGCAACCTGATCTTTAAGAGTAACAGAAGTAAAATATAAGGCTGCCAGAATATGACAGGCAGTCCAAAGTCAAATGAAAATTTTGTTATTTGTACCACTGATTCCCTCCATGGACAGACAAGAGCTGCTATCATCAGTCATCTTAAATTTAAATCATTTGCCCTTTTTTCCTACTGAACTCAGATATATTAAGCGATATAATAAGCGATAGTTAAAAAAAAAAATGCCATTCACAAAGCCAACTTCAACACCACACAGTGCGGCAAGTGAACATCTAGGATGCAGAGTATAGGGTAAATACGTATTCCCAGGAGTTCTCAGTATCAAAGGTGCTGCTATGAAAGGAGCCTCAGGAGGAAGGAAGAAGAACCATCTGCTGATGTTCTGGGTGAAAATAACCGGTCAGATGTCAGGAGAGGTCTATGCGCGGGCGTCTGGGCCCTAGTGGCCGACTCACGAAGGCTCGCTATTTCCACCCCAGAACGATCTGTTTCAAGTTAAGCAAAAAGGACATTTTGAAAGCCTCCTCTATAAACCTGATTACTCTGGCTTAAAACTCTGATTACTCTGGTTTATAAACCTCACTTACTCTGTTCCTTCCTTTATTTTTATTCTCTTTTACCACTGTCAATATTTTTCTATTTCCTGATATTCTGCCAGGCTTTCTCCTTTTCTCCTGTTGCTTTCTACCCTTCTGAGACTACCAGCTTCTCTTGTGTTTTTCAACTACCTGAAGTTAGAATCACCCCTATTCTTAGTAGGTTCAGTATTAGTTTCACTTTCTAAAATTGTTTTATTACATGCTACAACATGAATGAACCTTGAAAACGTTATGCTAGGTAGAAGAAGCCAGACATAAAAGACCACATGTTTAAAAACAAACAAACATATATTATAAGATTCTGTTTACACAGCATGTCCAGAACAGGCAATCCATAGAGACAGAACGTAGACGAGTGGCTGCCAGGGGCTGCGAGGAACAGGGCACAAGCAGTGACTGCAGATGAATACCCAGTTTTCTTTCTGGGGCGTGGAAATGTTCTGGAATTAAATAGTGGTGACGGTTTTACGACTTTCTGAATATAATAAGATCCACTGTACTGTACACTTTAAAATGATAAATTTTATATCCCAATATATGTGAATTATAGCTCAATAAAAAATGTTTTAAACTTGTTTTTATTTAGTGCCTTAGGCTTCAGTGTGCAGCTGTTTGAGAAAAAAAAAAAAATAATTCCAAGGTTTGGGTACAGTCTGACTCTGAAATGTAGTTTAGTGCTTTATAAACACAATTTCCACAAAAGGAGGTGATGTGCCCCATTATGTGTCAGGGTTAAGTGGTGACAGGATCAACAGAAAGTGAATTTGTACACTTAAGGCTGTGCTACTGCCTCTCACATCCTAGGTGCTTACACTTCAGGGAAGGTTACTTAATTCAGAGTTACAGACTATAACATTTTTTGTATTAAAAGCAAGAAAAGGGTCTATACCTTTCAATGTTGGGACTTTAGAAATGACACTGTATACAGTTAAGGATTAAAAAAAAAAAAAAATCTTCAGAATGCCAAGCTACTTGAGAAAAAGAAAGCCTGATTTCTCCCCCTTTTCATGGGATGATGCATTTTTTACCCCAAATGGGGCCAAAGTGAGCAGACAGAGCAGCATGAAACACCTCACAATCAAGATCTAGATAAAGGGACACTGTCATACCAGTAGGAGTATAAATAAAACTGTACAGCAAAACTTGTCAAAAGCCTTAAAATATGCTGTTTCACCAGGTCACTCCACTTCTAAAAATTTACTGTGAAAAAAGCACTGGGCAGAGCCAATGAGACATGTAACAGGGATGTTCCTCATTAACATTGTTCACAATTTTAAAAAAAGACAACAATCGAAGGCATCCAACACAGGAGGTTGGCTAAATAAAAATGTGGTCTTTCCACATAGTGAAGTAGCATACGACTTTGATGATATTAAAATAATGATATGGAAATAAGTCTTTTGATCTGTGGATACTAGTAACACTGGGGGATAAAAAAAGAGGTTATAAGCAGCATGACCATTCTTTCCCCATACACAAAATCTGTTTATGTATGTATACACACTTACATATTAAGATCTGTGTCTTTATACATAAAAGATTAAAAGAACATGAACCAAAAAGTTAAATATTTATGGAGGGAGTGAAAAGGAAAGAAGGGACTTTGCTTTTTGATGTCTGTTATTTCCTTGTTGTTTCTACAAGAATCTGTACATTTGCGATTAAAGGAAAAGCAGAAAGACTCAAAGAAGTTGATACTACCAACACCTTGGGAACAGAGGGAAATGGGGACTATGCCTTCTCTGAAGCCCTGATGTATCTAATTTGAATTACAAAAGTATGTTTGGCTCCATCCTAGGAAATCAAGTTCCCTTGAACTTGCGGCATACACAAAATCCAGCTCTGCTGAAGACAAAACACGTTGGTGCTTTTTCTGACCCATTGTCTTTAGCTCCAAACTGAACATCTCTTACACTGTAACTTTTACTTAACAACTTGAACTTATTTCTTTACGGGAACACAGTTCATTGGTCCCACTGTTGGCTTATGGGACCACTGAATCCACCGCGTCTGTTCTAGGTTAGGAGCAGGTGTCCTGACAGTGGAGGGGAGTACCACAGGCATCTAAATAGTGAGAACAAGTGCTGCCCATCTCAAGTGTTATACCAGCAATTTGGGGGTGATGGTTAAAACAGTGGGTTCTGGAGTCAGCCAGCCATTTTTAGTACCAGTGTGATCTTAGATAAGCAACCTCACAACATCTATGTTTCCTCATCTGTAGAATGGAAATATTAGGGTTGTTCTGAGGTTAAAATGAGGTAATTCGTGTCAAGAAAGCACTTAGGATGAGTCTCTGGCACATAGTAAGCCCTAGTAAATGTGAGTTATTGTTAATACTATTAATAACATGAAGGTAGTAATAATCCCATATTTCCTCATACCAATAACTTACAATTCCTGTCCTCCACTCATGAGTTCTCCTGATAAAATCTGAAATAAACAGGCTTAATATAACTTTAAAATTTCATTTGACCTCAGTAATTTCACAACTAGAAATAAAACAGTATGGAATACATTATCGTGATGAAATTAACCTAGATGAACACTTTCAGTTGCTGACTCAATAAATACTTACGAAACATGAGTTTTAACAAGGAGGATTAATATCACTCTGGATCCCCAGAGCCTAGCACAGAACAGACATCAGAGTACATGGGAGGTGCACAAAAACATTTCATAAATGAATTAAACAAATGAATTTTTAAAACTGTCACTCTAATTATCCTCATCACTAATATTCTGTTCGTTTTCATTTTCAGTCCACATTCTCCCCTCTGGAGCAATAAACCTGAAGTTACAGATGTGTTTTAAGAAGCGTACGTTTTCAAAAGATACAGATGATTTGACCAAAACAGGACCAAACCATTACATTCAATTGTATATGATCAGCCAATACAAACGAGATAGCCAATGTGTCATAAATCTCCCCTCTATACTTACCCCCTTGCTCTTCCCACAACATCTTTTTTCTCTAACCAATGTTGTCCTTGTTTATAGAGGCCTCGGTCATCAACCACATTATTATCTCCTTTGGTTAAAAACTTGATATGTCCATTTTGCCTTAAAAGAGTAAGGGAAATTCAAGTCATCGAATACTATCATGCCATTTCAAAGTACAAAATTTGCTCATGATAACTGAAAATTCCTATGGAACTGTGGTATTTTATCATCATTCCCAATATAAAAATAATTATTTAGCCAAAAGATGTTCACAGCTGTGTTGTTTATAACAGGAAAAAACTGAAAACAAGCTAAAAGGCTAACAGGAGTTGAAATCCATACAAGCATTAAGGATAATGATATAGAAAAACATTTAATGACATTAGAAGAGCATACAAATTTTATTAAGGTAAAAAATATTACAAAATAGAATGTACAGAATAATTCTTTATATTTTTATTTTTATAATAAAACAAACACAAACCACCAACTTTCTGGAAATACCAAGAGCAAAGGAAAACACTAAACTATTCTACAGGATATAATCTTCAAAATGAAGACAATGGGAAACTGCAAAATGACCCAGTTTCTTTAACCAATAAATCGCAACAAACAAAGAAAGTTAGAGAAGGAATTTACAGATTAAATAAAAGACATAAAGCTATATTAACCAAATGCAACTGAGGACCTCCTTTAAATCTGGATTCAAACAAATTGCTGATAAAAGTTAAGACACAATTGGAAATGTGAACAAAGATTGGAAACTTAATAATACAAAGAAACATTTGTTCTTTTTTTAGGTGTAAGCATGCTAATTATAAAACAAACATAAACCACCAACTTTCTGGAAATACCAAGAGCAAAGCAAAACAATGGAGCAGCCGTGAAGAGATGCCCCACGTCCAGTTAAGAGAAAACCGAGCAAGACGGTAGGTGTTGCGAGGGGGCATCAGAGGGCAGACACACTAAAACCATAATCACAGAAAACTAGCCAATCTGATCACAGGACCACAGCCGTGTCTAACTCAGTGAAACTAAGCCATGCAGTGTGGGGCCACCCAAGACGGACGGGTCATGGTGGAGAGTTCTGACAGAATGTGGTCCACTGGAGAAGGGAATGGCAAACCACTTCAGTATTCTTGCCTTGAGAACCCCATGAACAGTATGAAAGGGCAAAATGATAGTATACTGAAAGAGGAACTCCCCAGGTCAGTAGGTGCTCAATATGCTACTGGAGATCAGTGGAGAAATAACTCCAGAAAGAATGAAGGGATGGAGCCAAAGCAAAACAACACCCAGTTGTAGATGTGACTGGTGATAGAAGCAAGGTCCGATGCTGTAAAGAGCAATATTGCATAGGAACCTGGAATGTTAGGTCCATGAATCAAGGCAAATTGGAAGTGGTCAAACAGGAGATGGCAAGAGTGAATGTTGACATGCTAGGAATCAGCGAACTAAAATGGACTGGAATGGGTGAATTTAACTCAGATGACCTTTATATCTACTACTCTGGGCAGGAATCCCTTAGAAGAAATGGGGTAGCCATCATGGTCAAAAAGAGTCCGAAATGCAGTACTTGGATGCAATCTCAAAAATGACAGGATGATCTCTGTTCGTTTCCAAGGCAAAGCACTCAATATCACGGTAATCCAAGCCTATGCCCCAGCCAGTAATGCTGAAGAAGCTGAAGTTGAAGGGTTCTATGAAGACCTACAAGACCTTTTAGAACTAACACCCAAAAAAGATGTCCTTTTCATTATAGTGGACTGGAGTGCAAAAGTAGGTAGTCAAGAAATATCGGAGTAACAGGCAAATTTGGCCTTGGAGTATGGAATGAGGCAGGGCAAAGGCTAATAAGAGTTTTGCCAAGAGAACGCACTGGTCATAGCAAACACCCTCTTCAACAACACAAGAGAAGACTCTACACATGGACATCACCAGATGGTCAACGCCAAAATCAGATTGATTATATTCTTTGTGGCCAAAGATGGAGAAGCTCTATACAGTCAGCAAAAACAAGACCAGGAGCTGACTGTGGCTCAGATCATGAACTCCTTATTGCCAAATTCAGACTTAAATTGAAGAAAGTAGGGAAAACCACTAGACCATTCAGGTATGACCTAAATCAACTCCCTTATGACTATACAGTGGAAGTGAGAAATAGATTTAAGGGACTAGATCTGATAGACAAGAATGCCTGATGAACTATGGACAGAGGTTCGTGACACTGTACAGGAGACAGTGATCAAGACCATCCTCATAGAAAAGAAATGCAAAAAGGCAAAATGGTTGTTTAAGGAGGCCTCACAAATAGCTGTGAAAAGAAGAGAAGCGAAAAGCAAAGGAGAAAAAGGAAGATATTCCCATTTGAATGCAGAGTTCCAAAGAATAGCCAGGAGAGATAAGAAAGCCTTCCTCAGTGATCAATGCAAAGAAATAGAGGAAAACAACAGAATGGGAAAGACAACAGATCTCTTCAAGAAAATTAGAGATACCAAGGGAACATTTCATGCAAAGATGGGTTTGATAAAGGACAGAAATGGTATGGACCTAACAGAAGCAGAAGATATTAAGAAGAGGTAGCAAGAATATACAGAACTGTACAAAAAACATCTTCATGACCCAGATAATCATGATGGTGTGATCACTCACCTAGAGCCAGACATCCTGGAATGTGAAGTTAAGTGGGCCTTAGAAAGCATCACTACGAACAAAGCTAGTGGAGGTGATGAAATTCCAGTTGAGCTATTTCAAATCCTGAAAGATGATGCTGTGAGAAAGTGCTGCACTCAATATGCCAGCAAATTTGGAAAACTCAGCAGTGGCCACAGGACTGGAAAAGGTCAGGTTTCATTCAAATCCCAAAGAAAGACAATCCCAAAGAATGCTCAAACTACCGCACAATTGCACTCATCTCACACGCTAGTAAAGTAATGCTCAAAATTCTCCAAGCCAGGCTTCAGCAATACGTGAACTGTGAACTTCCAGATGTTCAAGCTGGTTTTAGAAAAGGCAGAGGAACCAGATATCAAATTGCCAGCATCCACTGGATTGTAGAAAAAGCAAGAGAGTTCCAGAAAAACATCTATTTCTGCTTTATTGACTATGCCAAAGCCTTTGACTGTGTGGATCACAGTAAACTGTGGAAAATTCTGAAAGAGATGGGAACACCAGACCACCTGACCCGCCTCTTGAGAAACCTATATGCAGGTCAGGAAGCAACAGTTAAAACTGGACATGGAACAACAGACTGGTTTGAAATAAGAAAATGAGTACGTCAAGGCTGTATATTGTCACCCTGCTAATTTAACTTATATGCAGAGTACATCATGAGAAACACTGGACTGGAAGAAGCACAAGCTGGAATCAAGATTGCCGGGAGAAATATCAATAACCTCAGATATGCAGATGACACCACCGTTATGGCAGAAAGTGAAGAGGAACTAAAAAGCCTCTTGATGAAAGTGAAAGAGGAGAGTGAAAAAGTTGGCTTAAAGCTCAACATTCAGAAAACTAAGATCATAGTATCTGGTCCAATCACTTCATGGGAAATAGATGGGGAAACAGTGGAAACAGTGGCTGACTTTATTTTTTGGGGCTCCAAAATCACTGCATATGGTGACTAAAGCCATGAAATTAAAAGATGCTTGCTCCTTGGAAGGAAAGTTATGACCAACCTAGATAGCATATTAAAAAAGCAGAGACATTACTTTGCCAACAAAGGTCTGTCTAGTCAAGGCTATGGTTTTTCCAGGGGTCATGTATGGATGTGAGAGTTGGACTGTGAAGAAAGCTGAGCACTGAAAAATTGATGCTTCTGAACTGTGGTGTTGGAGAAGACTCTTGAGAGGCCCTTCGACTGCAAGGAGATCCAACCAGTCCATCCTAAAGCAGATCAGTCCTGGGTGTCCATTGAAGGACTGAGGCTGAAACTGAAACTCCAATACTTTGGCCACCTGATGCGAAGAGCTGACTCACTGGAAAAAACCCTGATGCTGGGAGGGATCGGGGGCATGAGGAGAAGGGGATGACAGACGATGAGATGGCTGGATGGCATCACTGACTCGATGAACTTGAGTTTGAGTAAACTCCGGGAGTTGGTGATGGACAGGGAGGCCTGGTGTGCTGCGATTCATGGGGTCGCAAAGAGTCGGACGTGACTGAGTGACAGAACTGACTGAACTGCTGCTAATTATAGCTTATTGGAACTAGGTGATTGATACATGGAAGTTCATTATACTGTTTTGTCTACTTTTGTGAATGCTAGAAATCCTCTTATTAAAAGAAAAATTGAAAAAGAAAAATACTAAGCAAGGTCTAAAATGATAGACCAAGGTGTGAACAGCAGCTATCTATAGGGTTTTAAGTTTTTTCTCCAACAAACATATACTACTTTTACAAGCCAGGGTCTATATAAACATCATATTACTTGATTAGACAATTATTAGTTTAATAATACTAAAGAACCAGGCTTCTCTGGTGGCTCAGATGGTAAAGAATCTGCCTGCAATGCGGGAGACCTGGGTTTGATTCCTTGGTTGGGAAGATCCCCTGGAGGAGGGCATGGCAATCCACTCCAGTATCCTTGCCTGGAGGATCCCCAAGGACAGAGGAGCTTGGCAGGCTGCCATTCATGGGGTCGCAAAGAGTTGGACATGACTGAGCAGCTAAGCACATACACATACAAATGAAATAAATTAAAAAATAATAATGATGATACTAAAGAGCCATGGGGCTTCTAGTAATCTTAAAATTAATAGAAATTTACAGTTGACAAAGACTATCTTAAAATTAACTCAAATGAGTTTGAGTTAACAGTTTAACTAGAAAGAAGAAAAATAGCTTCAGCTCCTACACACTAATACCTACTTAGATTCTAAGGCAGAAACTGGCTCACTAGACACTAAATCATTAGCAGATAGAACTAAATTGGAGGTGTTGCAAACACTAAAAACATTCAAGTGCAAACAGTGTCATTAAAAATGAGATTCCAATTATAAAAAATGCAAATATATACAGAGAAAAATAACCTGTAGTTGACAACTCAGTAAGTGAAAGAATGTTTGAAAAATCCTGGACGGTAAAAGAAAACAGGTGTGTGAGGGGGTGCGGATAGTGAGTTGCAAAGGGACCATCACGAAAATGCAGAGTAAGGACTAAGTCACCCCCATGGCAAATTCCTCTAAACTCTTTATCACATGCCAGTATTCAATATCATCAAATTATAATACCTACAGGTTGAACTTACTAAATACATATTAGAGTAGGCTATAAAATAAGATAAAGAGTTTATAAGTGGGGAAAATGTTATTAAGAATTGCTCACAGGCTAATACAAAGAGCTATCCAAGAGAATTCAGTCAACTGATAACACTTAATAGCCACCTTTCACCTTTTAAATTAAAAAACCAACTTCACTCTCTCCTCTTTCCTAATACATGGAAGACAAGAAACAGGTGAGGGAAAGAGAAGGATTTAAGGAAGATGTTTTTTTGCTGTTTGCCACACTACATATTGCCACAGCTTTCATTCCAATCCCAAAAAAAGGCAAGGCCAAAGAATGTTCAAACTACAGCACAATTGCACTCATCTCACCCGCTAGCAAAGTAATGCTCAAAATTCTCCAAGCCAGGCTTCAACAGTATGTGAACCATGAACTTCCAGATGTTCATGATGGATTTAGAAAAGGCAGGGGGAGCAAAGATCAAATTGCCAACATCCACTGGATCATTGAAAAAGCAAGAGAGTTCAGAAAAACGTCTACTTCTGTTTTATCGACTATACCAAAGCCTTTGACTGTGTAGGTCACAACAAATTGTGGAAAATTCTTAAAGAGATGGGAACACCAGACCACCTGACATGCCTTCTGAGAAATCTGTATGCAGGTCAAGAAGCAACAGTTAGAACTGGACATGGAACAACAGATTGGTTCCAAATTGGGAAAGAAGTATGTTAAGACTGTATATTGTCACCCTGCTTATTTAACTTATATGCAGAATACATCATGTGAAATGCCAGGCTGGACGAAGCACAAGCTGGAATCAAGATTGCTAAGAGAAATATCAATAACCTCAGATACATAGATGATACCACCCTTATGGCAGAAAGTGAAGAACTAAAGAGCCTCTTAATGAAAGTGAAAGAGGAGAGTGAAAAAGTTGCCTTAAAACTCAACATTCAGAAAACTAAGATCATGGCATCCCATGCCATCACTTCCTGGCAAACAGATAAGAAATAGTGAAAACAATGAGAGACTTTATTTTGGGGGGCTCCAAAATCACTGCAGATGGTGACTGCAGCCATGAAATTAAAAGATGCTTGCTCCTTGGAAGAAAAGCTATGAACAACCTACACAGCATATTAAAAAGCAGAGACATTACTTTGCCAACAAAGGTCTGACTAATCAAAGTGATGGTTTTCCTAGTAGCCATGTATGGATGTGAGAGTTGGACTACAAAGAAAGCTGAGTGCCAAAGAATGATGCTTTTGAACTGTAGTGTTGGAGAAGACTCTTGAGAATCCCTTGGACTGCAAGGAGATCCAACTAGCCAATCCTAAAGGAAATCAGTCCTGAATATTCATTGGAAAGACTGATGCTGAAGCTGAAACTCCCCAATACTCTGGCCACCTGATGCAAAGAACTGACTCAATGGAAAATACCCTGATGCTGAGGAAGATTGAAAGCAGGAGGAGAAGGGGTTGACAGAGGATGAGATGGCTGGATGGCATCACTGACTCCATGGACATGAGTTTGAGCAAACTTCAGGAGTTGGTGATAGACAGGGAAGCCTGGCGTACTGCAGTCCATTGGGTTGCAAAGAGTCAGACTCGACTGAGCCACTGAATTGAATTGAAATGACAGTACATATAATCTTACCTGCATGCACATCTCTGGTGTTTTTTTTTTTTTAATTCTCAACTTTAATTCTGAAATATAATTTCCACAAATTTTAACACAGCCTTTATAGATTCCATGATAATCCCTAATCTTCATATGACTTTTGCATTTCTGAGCTCTTTAATTTGTTTCCTCAGGATTTTGTCTTCAGTGCTTAATCAAGAAGGGTTTCCACATGCTTTATCCTCTTAGTTCTTTTTAAAAAAATTTCATTTATGTTTAATTGGAGGATAACTGCTTTATAACATTGTGATGGTTTCTGCCATATATCAACATGAATCAGCCATGAGTATATGCATGCCCCCTCCCTCGAGAACCTCCCACCCAAGATAACTTTTTTAAAATAAAAAACTCCATTCAAAGGATCACATATAAAAATGTACAAATTGTGCTCTACCCAAAGCATGGTCTGATTTTTTTCTGATAAATCTGCGGGAAAGTTGGTCCTGATCTGTTCACAAAAGGCGGTGCTGAGACCAAAATACACAAATACACTTTGAGAATTTGGAAAACACTACCTGTACTGAATAAACCTTCATGATTCTTAAAAAAAATAAATAAATAAAACTAAGTTATTCCTTCCTTCCAAGTCACTAATAGAATGCCACTTAAAAATTATAATCTTGGGACTTCCCTGGTGGTCCAGGGGCTAAGACTCTGTGTTTCCAATGCAGGGGGTCTAGGTTCCATCCCTGGTCAGGGAACTAGATCCCACGTGCTGCAACTAAGACCCAGTGTAGCCAAATAAGTAAAAATACTTTCAAAAAAGCATAATCTCTCAATATACTGAGGTATAGAAAAAGAAGAACGGTCAGATCTTTATTTCATCAATGAAGAAAGAACTCTTCTAAGCTAGAATGTTTACAATGATCTTCAAAAAGCAACAGGCGACGGTTCCCTCTATTGTAAGTGGAGAATATAAACTATTTGAGAGGGTTTAAGAATGAGGCAGGATTTATTTAGGGCTTCCTCATACTCAAGGACCTATATCACTCCCACTGCTTTACCTCCCTCTCACATGTTTTCCAGGACACTCCCTTTTCCTCCATTTCTTTCCATCTTTCCCTTCTAACTAGGAACATTACAGATTTGGAAGGGACGGGTGAGGATACGTAGATGCACAGTGGGCACAGGCTAAGAACCCAGAGCTCATCTTCCTGAACTTCTTTCTGTCACAGACAGGGAAACTGAAACCTGGGACGTGACAGCTTTTGCTCATTGTTACACCCCTCCTCCACCCCCAGTGAATTCTAAAGGTCTTACATATGTTCTTTTCAATTCTAAAATCCAAGTCTATATTTACAAGAATAAATAATTTCAGATTTCAAAAGTTTTCTTTGAAATTTTGAAAAAATTGATAAATTTATTCTTACAATGTCTGTGAGATTGCCTTGAAGGTTTACTTTTGAAAGATTAGGGCTACCTCCTCCATTATATAAGATCCTTGTTTGGGATCAATCTTTATGTGACATTTTTTTCTGGGATGATATATAGGGTCACTGATCTGGTTGGGACGTAGAAGAGATCCAAGAAAAACCTCCAGAAAAGCCCTCAGGGAAATAGATGAATTAGTAAGTATTTAGTTTCCCAAATGTCACCAAAAGAGGTTCATAAAAATGGACTGGAAGAAGGACCTAGGAGTTTCTCACCATTTCTTAAATCTTTGGGCTATCAAAATGAAATACTGCAAAAACTAAAACATAAACATATTTTAAAATACAGAAGATATAGTTTGCACATACTTTTCATGAATCTTCAAGACTCGGTGAACTATAGGAATCTCTCTTCCTTCTATCCTAAAAACAACAATTTCTCCCACTCGTATGGGATCTTCAACTCGATTTGTTAGAAAGAGAAGATCTCCTCTATGAAATGCAGGTTCCATGCTGCCACTGGGAGGGAAAAAAGAATATAACAACAAAAGAGTGTCTGAGATTAAATTTATTTTCAAAGTTAAAGATATTCAACAAAAGTTATCACCTTTGGAATATACTTAATACCTTAACATATGTATCAACATACCTGTGTACAGTCCTCCAAAAAAGGTTTCTTTATACTAATTAGTTATACTAAAGGTTTCCTTTAGTTAACTAGTTCTATTTCAACCACTACTATTCAAAAGAGCTTAAATTTTGAAAAGGGCAATATTACTAATTCCTTAACCTTTTAAAATTTCAAAACAGAATATAAAAGAATGAACTTTATAATCCCTGCCCTTATTCTCCATCTGAAAACACTAAAGATATTCAAATATTCAAATGAGAACCAGATCATCTTCTGCCATTTATAAAGATACAGAGCAAGATGACCTTATAGTTTCAATCCAACAAGAAGGAAAAACAGCTCATCAAGTCAAGGACAGTCAGCTACAGAGATAATGCTTGTGCTATCAATTGATTTATTTAAAAAAGAGAAACAAGAAAGCCAAGGACAAAAGCAGAGATTTTTGCCTAAGAATTTCAAAAACGAGCAAAGAATTCAATTTCATGGTCCTTAGTGTTTACATTCTAGACTGTCTTCTTACCTTTCACCTATTCTACCTATACCACGTCCTTCAAAGGTCCTAAGATATTTGCACTACTTGATGAAACTTTTTTTCTATAATGAAACAGTGCATCAGTATTTCAGAAACTCAAGCTCTAATTTTCAATAACTGTAAGTTTAATAAGGAAAAAATGGATAGACAGGGAATAACATTCAACACAAGAACAATGACAAGGTTCAAACACTTCTGTTTGAAGACTCTGGTCTTCTATATATATAAGGAAGTATAGCAGTGGCTCCCAAACTCTGGTGCACACAAGAATCATCTGAGAAACTTAAAAATCCCCATGCCCAGGTCATGTCTCAAACCACTTACATCAGAATGTCTGAGGATGAGAAGTAGGCATCAAACCAATATTCTGCAAAGATCCCAGGTGATTCAAACATGAGCAAATTTTGGGGCTCACTAGAAATATAGATTTTTCAGCACAATGTTTACTCTTAAAACTTCTGTTAAGCTTCCTCATGGGGCAATCAATTCCCTTTCTTGGAAGGTGTTCAGACAAAAGATGAAACAAGTGTTCGATGAAAACATTATAAAAGGTATTCTAGACATGAAATTTTCAAGTTTTTATTTTGGTTGATTTTCTAAAAGATCAGTGACATCCTTGATTCAAATAAAACCTTGCTTGAAAACTATATAAATAAAACATAAACGTTGAGTTATTCTAATTGAATGACTCAGCTTTATCGAGCACTTATATGCAAAGTGCTAATTCTAAGTGGTGGTTCTTTATTTCAAACAATCTTCAGAACAATTCTATGATGTAGGTACTATAATTATCCTACCTTTATAGATAAGGAGACTGAGGCTTAGACTGACCTAGAGTTATTAGTTAAAAAAAAATTTAAAAAATTATAAAAGAGGGAATTAGACCAAGGGAGTCTACTCTCACTGTGCTAAATTGCCTCTGAGATACATTAGAACTTTAAGTGTCTGTTGAATAAATGAATGAATGAATGAGAAAAAAAAAAAAAAAAGAACTTTAAGTGTAAATGATCACATTTACACTTAAAAAAAAAAAATCACGTCAGAAGCTACAGAGTTTACAGAAGACATTCAAATATTTATTGAATTCATGAATAGATGGAAATAATAAGAAGGTAAATTGGGAGACCACTTGTCCAGGGTGTTATCTCCAACTGAATACTTGGCAATTATTAAGTGTTATTAAAACATGCACACTGGAAAATAAGGATAAGGGGAAAAGACTGAAAAAAGAATACATGCAGAGTTACCTCAATTATGTAAGAAATAATATACATGAAAAAGAGACTAAAATGTTAATAGTGATTATATCCCAGAACTATAGGTGACTTAGTTTCATCTAGATTTTTTTGTGTTTTCAAAATCTCATATAATGAAGATACATTAAGTTTTTTTTAATTTTTATTATAAAAGCATTTTTCTTAAAGGTCACTACAATAGCCCAAGCAGGAAACGGAGAGGGCCTGAAATAGAAAACAGCAGGGAGGACAGCAATAAAAGGGCAGAATAGAGGGAGGGAAAACAACAAATTTGATGGTCAGTTGGATTATGACAGAAGGGGGAACAAGAATGACTCTTACGTTTTTAACACTGGCAACTGAGCAGATGGTCGTGACAGTCACAGAACTAGGAGGAAGAATAGGATTTTGGGAATGGGAGATGAATTTCGCTTTTATTGGTGGAGCTTCAAGTGCCTGGTCAACATCTAGGTAGAGATGTTAGCATAGGATGAAAACAAGAGTGTAGATTCAAGGGATAAAGTTGGATAAGGAAAAAAGAGATTTAAGAATCCAGATATAGATGGCAATTCAAAACAGATAAAAACCATGTGGTGAAAAGGATTATTAAAGAAATAATTATTAAAGAAACTTTTTAAAAATTAAATAATTAGTAGACTTCTTACTATTTATTATCTGATCAAACTATACTCTTAAATATAATACATCATCAATCAATTTTGTAAGAGGTCATATATAATTTATATAAATTAAACTGGGGAATTCCCTGGAGGTCCGTGGTTAGAACTCTTCCACTGTAGGGGGCCTAGGTTCAATCCTCCATCAGGGAATAAAGACCCCGAAGGCCATGCAGCATAACCATAAACATATTAATAAATATAAAACTGACTTCAGTGTCACAAAGGGGGAAATGTTTTGAATGTTCCCTGAAACTTCAGTAAATAAAATAAATAATAAGTATTTGTCTTTATTCCCAATAGTTTCACAAAAGTCTTAAAAGTGGATTTTCAGGTGGCCTGAGTCCTTGGAGGTACATTTGGATCTAGGCAAAAATTATATCCCTTGAAGTTTCATGAAATCATGTAAGTTACCTTTTCTCTAATGACTATTCCCACCAGTCTCGACCAGATGCTCTCTTGACCTGGTCTCTCTTCATTTTTTTTCCTTTATTCCACGTTGACAATCAGAAAAGTTTAATATATAAATAACCAAGCTACCAAAAAAACTTATCCAAACATCCCTTTTAAATCCCAGCTGATATTTTCAGGACCACTAAAGTGTGGAGCAGGTGTTTAGTACAATCCCCTACTCACTCCATCATTTCCAATTTATAGGTAATTAGTCTGTCCTTAAGCATCTCCACTGAATGGAACTCAATCTGAAATAATCCCAGAAGAATCTCCAAAAGAAGTCTCCCTGGGCCTTCTCTTCTACAGCTTTTCCCCACAGTGACAATTAAGTGTGGCTTCTCCTTCCATTAGTGTTTGAACACTCACTGAATTCAAACCTGTCCAGGAACTTAGGGACAATTTTAGACCTGGAACATCTAGGTCTAGCCTTCATTTTATAGATGAGGAAGCTATGATTCAGTCTGTAAGAGACTTGCCCAAGGTTGTAGGTTAGACAATGAAAGAGCTAAAGACACAAGTCTCCATACTCCTAGAACAATACATTAAGTGCTTTCCCAGATAATAAAATCCACATTTCACTGGATCTCTAAAATCACAATTGCATTTGATTAGTAATAAAGACAGATCGAGGGTGTGCGTATGAGTATTAGTAAGGGAGGAGGAAGATACTGGAGACCCAGTGCTTCCAACCGCTTACTGCTGGAAGTAAAGCCTAGTAAACAGTCAGAGTCAAATTCTTCTTGTTAAGACTAATGTACTATTATCTAGACTCTAGATAATGCTAATGATTCAATTTATTTTATATTTATACTCTATTACCCCCAGAAAATACTTGAGACAGCTTACATAATTAAGCTTCAAACAAGACCAAATTATAATGATTCAATTAAATAACCAAGTGTTAATTCTCCAATAATGAGTTACTAAATTAAGTTTTTAAAATCATTAAGAATATGAGTACAAAGATAGGGAAGGAAAAATCAGTACTATTTGTCACTTTAAGAGATGGCATTAATATAGTCAAAATTCCTGAAGTCTATTTAGAAGTGATATTTAAAGGTCAGCATGAAACATGGAAATAATTAGTGAGGCTTCTGAACTGACACTGAGAACATGCTGCAGAAGAATTCTTAATTTATGAAGATTATATATGATCTTGTAAATTAACAACTAAGTATCAGCTCTGATTGGAGATGAAAATGGCAACCCACTCCAGTATTCTTGCCTGAAAAATCCCATGGACAGAGGAGCCTGGCAGGCTACAATCCATGGGGTCACAAAGAGTCAGACATGACTGAGCAACTAAACCACCATCAGCCCTGATAGACTAAAGTAAAAAAACATAAGAAGACAGAAAGATTTCGAGAAAATAAACTAAACTGAAACACTTCCTTAACAGATGTGCCAAAAATAAAGCTCATATGGTAAACATTTCATGGAAAAGTCAGGAGCCCTTTGGGATCTGAATGGAAAGTGCCTGACAAAGTTGAGAATTCCTCACAACTGAGAAAGAAAAACAAATTTTCTTCCAGGTCCTCTTCTGGGAAACAATAATGTCTAAAGGAATGATATATCCATTATTCAACATCTCAGTTTCTCTCCCAAGTAATGCCATGCAACTCCATACTTTGAAAAGAAAAATTAATTGTTACCTGAGCACCACTACAATCGGACTTTCACTTCCAGTTATGACCATTAACCCCTTCCAGATCATTAGTGCCGAGGAGACAATCATTCCAAAATTTAGGACTTGATAATAGAGCTGTAAGAACAAGAGAAGAAATCAGATCCATAGTTAGCCCGACTGAGGAAAGCAACGGAGAGTAGTATCAATTTTAAAGTTTCAAGTAGTACTATTAGGGCACCTGAAGTTCAGAGACTCCTTTAAAAATTTTATTTATTTTTTTGGCTGCACTGGGTCTTAGCTGTGGCATGTGTGATCTAGTTCCCTGACCAGGGATCAAACCCAGGTCCCCTACACTGGGAGCGCAGAGTCTTAGCCACTGAACCCCAGGGAAGTCCCAGAGACTGCCTTTCAAACCGCGTGTGTAATTACCCCATGAGTACATCCCAGTACAGCCCTTCAAGCCACCCAAAGAATCCTGCTCCGCTTTGTTTGCTAAAACACGTTACATTCATATGATTAACATTATTTTCAGAACTTTTCACATAAATTATTTCATTTGGGCTTCACAACCATTCAGCTTAAATTCCATCACATTCACGGCACATACCAGCCAACAGCAATGTACCTGTGCTTCGAAACTCCTCTAGAACTTACTTTTCTACAATAAATAGCCCTTGATAATTACAGGCTATTCAATGACATTTAACCTGAACCCTCATTTTATAGGTGAGGAAACACAGTCTCAGAGAGAGGAAGTGACTTTGTCAAAGCCAAACAGCTTGTTTCATATTATTTTTTGAAAAGACAAAAAATAGTCTTTTTATTCCAAAGACAGATTTAAGAAAGTAGAGTCAGAGAGGATAAGGATAGAAAAGCTAGCTTTTAAGAAGTGATTGTGGTCCGCTTGTGGATCGGCAGTCAGGAATTCAGCTGCTGCTGCTGCTGCTAAGTCGCTTCAGTCGTGTCCGACTCTGTGCGACCCCATAGACGGCAGCCCACCAGGCTCCCCCATCCCTGGGATTCTCCAGGCAAGAATACTGGAGTGGGTTGCCATTTCCTTCTCCAATGCATGAAAGTGAAATTGCTCAGTCGTGTCCAACTCTTAGCAACCCCATGGACTGCAGCCCACCATGCTCCTCCATTCATGGGATTTTCCAGGCAAGAGCACTGGAGTGGGGTGCCATTGCCTTCTCCGCAGGAATTCAGCTAGAGGCTCTATTTTCTAAACTTCCCATGCTAAGAAAGTCACCTATATATACTACTGGTTAGGGCAAAAGATTATTAAGGGCCCCAATCCAGAGTCACTGAAGGAAGGGCTGTGGGACTCTATAAAAACTACAAAACATAGTCTCATGATTCCTTATTTAAAACCTTTGGAGAGGAGCGGGAGTCTGGGAAGCAGCAAGTGGCTTCCTCCAGGACCAGACAGCACAGGGTGGGCTGCGTCAGCCTCAGCAGGCCCGGGCAGGCCTCGTGAGAATGTAGGACGTAAGCGTTTTGGGAGGTTCGCAAAGCGGACTGCGGAGCCCCTGCCTGCAGCTTTGGTCTGCGCCCTGGCTCCGGCCTTACTTGTGTTTCCCCCACAAGAATGGCTTCCCCCAGCCTTTCCTGATGTTGGTGAGGTTTGGACGTATTAGTAATATTGTTATTTTTCTTACTATCATCATCATTTTGAGAGTCCACTGCGTATAAGCATTGGTGGTCCTACGCAGGGCGCCATGCAGAAAGCCATGAGTTAGAAGCTGGAGGAAGGAGGGCTTATAGATGCTTGAGGAATGTCCTTAAACCAGCATGAAATGTTGGAGGTTGAGGTGAAAAATATGGCTTTGATATCTTCATGGAAGACTGCATTATTTCATCCCTGAATCTAGTTCAGTTCCCTTACTGACTTATTACTGTGTTAAAATGCTTGTTTAGCAGATTGTAAAATAAATTAACATGTACATGCTGTCTTGGGGCAGACTAAGGGAAAACAGGTGTTCAGCCTAGAAAAATGTTGCTCATTGGATTTCCTATTAAGTCAGTATGTCTTGGGTTTAACTTTGAAACAAATCAAAAAATTTAACTATTTTAAAATCTAAAAAAATAAATAAATAAAACCTTTGGAGGTCAGAAAGGCTTCATAATTCAGAATTGGCCAGATTTTGAAAAGGTAATACCCGAACATACCATATAGTAGATAACACCCTGAGCAGGCAATATCCCATAGTCAAGCCTATTAATATTTCTGCAGCAAAACATAAAAAACACACTGAAATAAATAAAGCTAAAAATAGCTACATGTCAGTCAGTTCAAATCTGTTTTGCTGAGGAAAAGCTTTCTGTTTTCAGAAGGGCACAGATGTGGCATTGTCAGAGCAGGTGTGAGACAGCTAATAAAATAACTGGTTGGGGTTTTTTTCTTTTTTTTTTGGCTGCACCCTGCAGCATGTGGGATCTTAGTTCCCCATCCAGGGATGGACCCTGTGCCCCCTGCCATGGAGGACAGATTCTTAACCACTAGACTATCACAGAAGTCCCTAAAGTTAGCTCTTCTCTAAAAGAAAAATGAAAGATTTAAAAAATCTTGATTTTCTCTGTTCCTGCAAAGAGGTCACTATAATTATTCTTCTCTTTTTCCTCAGACATGTAATCCTATTTTCACTACACAATCATTGTTGTGACATGTATCCAATCATCAAGAGCAACCTCAACAGTAGAGAAAGAGGCCGAGTCTCTCACTATGTATAAATGTTCCTTAAAAGATGCCGGCCTGTACACTTCTAAGTCAGTGTGTGACTGTCTGTCAAAACCTAGACTGAAGCACATATCTGCGAAAACAAATATTCTACCTGAGCAAAAGTTTGAAAGTACCGTATTTTTCACTCTCTTCTCCCCTTTTTCATGACAAAAATCTTTACTCAAAAGCCCCTGCTTTCTTCACCACTGTATCTAAATGCTAATGAATGTACAGAATGAATGTAGAGAAAGAAGTATTTTGGGTATTGACAGAAATAAGGTGGCAGCTACCTAACCTCATACCATTTGGCCAAAGCAAGCTATTAATAGGATATTGTGACATATGTAGAGTAACAATCCCAGAACTGAATAGCCCCATTATTTTTTCTAAGAAATGACTGGAACATTACGCTCTTCAGTGTTCAAAGTTAAAGAATGTTATTAAAAATCAGTCAAAGCTCTATGTAATATCTCTTGGTAGCTATGGCATAAGGATTTATGTGTGCTATTTTTCTCTTGCACTTTTAGGAAGTAGTGTGTGGAGACTTCCCAAAAAATTCCATGACTAGAATAATCTACATAAGTTAAAATACACAGTAAGTAATAAATAACAAGAATTTGAGAAAAACCTACAAAGAAAATTCAGCAAAATAAAGCTGATAGTAAGCTATTTTTTTCCATTTATTTTTATTAGTTGGAGGCTAATTACTTTTTTGCCATACATTGACATGAATCAGCCATGGATTTACATGTGTTCCCCATCCCGATCCCCACTCCCACCTCCCTCCCCATCCCATCCCTCTGGGTCTTCCCAGTGATAGTAAGTTTGAATATTATAATTTAACAAGTTCTAATACGGAAGTTGGGGCTTCTATGGTGGCTCAACGGTAAAGAATCTGCCTGCCAATGCAGGCATGCAGGATATGCAGGTTCAAGTCCTAGGTCAGGAAGATCCCTTGGAGAAAGAAATGGCAACCCACGCCAGTATCCTTGCCTGGGAAATCTCATGGACAAAGGAGCCTAGTGGGTGCAGTCCATGGGGTGGCAAAAGAGCCAGAAACGACTTAGTGACTAAACAACAACAAATTTGGAAGTTATATACTTGCACTTATTAGTTATCAAACACGCCATTATATTTCCTATTCTTGTAAGAGATATTTGAAGTTCAACAAAGAGTATTTTCATAGGAGTCAGACTTCTAGTAATCTCAAGTGAAGACAAACATGACCATGGAAGCAAAAATGTGTCTGAGAGCTACAAAATAGCAGTTGGCTTAAGTCTTAAATTCCACTTATTTTGAGACCTCAAACTTAAGAGACTTATTAATTCATAATCACAATCCCCTGGTTTCTAATTCATAGAAGTAGCAATTAAAAACTAGGGTATTAGAAGCAGATACACTGAGAGCAGCTACCAGTAAAATTTACGGCACTGAAAAACTGAAGCATATTCAGAACGGATACTTATTATGGTCCAATATATAAAGTCACTGATAGTCCCAGTGAGTGTCTTAAATGATAACAACAACAAAAATCCTTGATTTGTCTAAACAGGCATAAGATGACTTTCATTTTAAAAAATCCATTAAATTTCTTTAAAATCTGACAAATGAAAACATGTCCACGCAACACTTGTATAGTAGTTTCATTCATAATAGCCTCAAATTGGAAAAAATAAAAAACCAAATGTCCACCAACAGGTGAATAAATAAATTACAACATTATTTCCAAATGATGGAAAACCACTCAGGAATAGAAATGAATGAACTATTGAAACACAACATAGATGAATCTCAAAAATATGCTATTTACTCTGTTTAATGTTATGGGGCAGCCTGGATAGAAGGGGAGCTTAGGGGAGAATGGATACATTTTTATATGTGGCTGAGTCCCTTTGCCATCCACTTGAAACTATCACGACATTGTTTGTTAATCAGCTATACCCCAATACAAAATAAAAAAGCAAAAAAAAAAAAAAAAGAAGAAAGAAACATGTTATTCAGGCCAGGTTGGAGAAGAAGGGATCAAATTTACCTTCCTGCCTGAAATAATTAAAACACTAGATAAAATATATGAACAAAGGTTTTCAGACACTGGACATGTGACGGTGTCCAGGTAGCATAGGACTATGAAAGAAGAAACAAGGTGAGCCCTACAATTGCCCCAACTTACAGACTGGATGGTTTCCAGGCCACAGGGCAAAATGGAAATGTAGCCAGAGCCTACAAGTCTCCTGACTTGATGACAAAGAACTGGGAGCCTGGGGGGACGAAGGCAGCTTTGATTGTAAGGCATTACAGAAATGAGAACTATACAAAGATCTATGCAGCCTCTCTTCTCAAGTCTTCAGCTGAGTGATGATCAGCAAGGATTAGCACATGCATTTAAGGGAAATGAATCATCTAAAGAATCATCTAA